CGCCGCCGCCGCCGGAGCGGCAGGACTCGGGCGACTCGGAGGAGGACTCGGACCGGGCCATGCCCGACCTGGTGGAGGTGGGCGCACCACCTGCCGGGCCACGTGAAGCGGGCCGAGCTGCGCTCCATCCGCAGTCAGCTGCAGCGCGGCATGAGCGACGAGCAGCGCCGCCAGGAGAGACAGTCAGTGGCGCCGGGGGCCGCCGGAAGCGGGCCAGTGTCTGGGCGGGGGCGGGGCAGCCACAAGAGATAATCACTGGAGTACGAGGGTCGGAAGGGGGGGGGGGGGCCAGCGCCGCCACGGAGAGACAGTTCAGTGGCATCCGGGGCCGCGGGAGCAGACAGTGTCTGGGGGGGGGGGGGGGGGGGATGCAGCGCCGCCACGAGAGGACAGTCGGTGGCCGCCAGGGTCCGCCGGGAGCTGGACAGTGTCATGAGAGGGGGGGGGGGAGGAGGAGGGAGTGCCGCCCACGACGAGACTATCAGCACCGCCAGGGCCGCCGGGAGCGGACAGTGTTTGGAGGAGAGGGGGGGGGGGGGAGGGGCAGCACCGCCACCAGAGAATAGTCGGTGCCGCTAGCGGCCGGCGGGAGCAGGACAGTGACGAGGGCGGGGGGCGGGGCAGCTGCCACCAGAGGAAACACCACGTTACTCAACCCGGGCTCGGGGAGGCACTGCAATCAAAGTTGGGGGGAAGCGGAAAATTGTGGGCGAGGGGTCGACAGAGAGCGTACATTAACTCGAGCTTGTATCGTTGCCGTCAAAATTGTATGGCCCAGGGGTGGCAAGAGCTGTAGATAAATGAGACTTGCTGTGTATTGCATTGCTAGGCGAAACAGGCTTCCCGGTGGCTTAAGGCCGTCACGCGCCATGAAATAACGTCCCAGAGTGTCAGCGCTGTACAGCCAGACCGCTGGCTGCAACGGTGAAGGGTTAGGGGCTGGGTGCCAGCTGCCAGGACGTGTAAGATTTCGCCTGATACGTGATCTGGGAAGGGACTCATACCGGACGCCAGAATGCTGCGCATGCTTAGCAAGCATAGTATCAGTGTATATCAATGAAAAGAGGACAGCTGGAAGGTAGTGACTGTAGGGGCGAGAGCCCCTACAATTGAGCCCCCACCAGGGCCTCAGAAAGGGGCTGGGCGCGTTGCCACAGCTGTTGCGGGAGGCATTGTTTGTTCTGCGGAATGAACCTCGGCTGCCGATACGTTACAAATGGTGACTTTTTGCGCTTTTGGCGCGCCATTGGAGGATATAAATGTCTACTGGTTGTTAAACTTGCCTCCAGTTTAACTTGGCCTTCGGTTTATTATGGCCCGAATCGGCCACGTGAGGTGTTATTGGCACCTGGACCGAGTCAGCTGCTGCGAGCTGCCATGGGCGACGGAGGTAACCTCGGCCATCATTGGCGAGCTCGGGCCGCGCTGAGAGAGCTCGGCCAATGGCGTGACGCCGCACAAACAGCAGCGCCTGAGCGCCGCCTGACCTGACCTGACCTGACCTGAGCGCCGCGCTCCGCAGGGTGGAGCGGGACCAGATGGCCGCCATACTGGACCTGATGCAGAAGAACAGCGACAAGTTCGGCAGCCCGTCGCTGGACGACATGCAGTCGCAGCTGAAGCTCTACATGTGAGCTGCGCGCCCGCTCCGGTCCTCCGTGCGGGATGCACACCTGCCCCGGCCGGATCTCCGCGCGGGATGTACACCTGCCCCGGTGGGATCTCCGCGCGGGATGTATGCCCCGGCCGGATCTCTGGATCTCTCGGGATGCCCCGGCCGGATCTCGGTGTGGGATGTACACCTGCCCCGGCCGGATCTCCGCGCGGGATGTATGCCCCGGCCGGATCTCTGGATCTCCCGGGATGCCCCGGCCGGATCTCCGCGCGGGATGTACCCCGCCCCGGCCGGATTTCCGCGCGCGATGTACCCGCCCCGGTCGGATCTCGGTGTGGGATGTACCCCCGCCATCTACGGCTCGTGCTGTGAGCGGCGGGACACTGTTCGCTGGAGATAACGTGCTCCCCCATCCCACCCCATCCCTACACCCCCGGTGAAGCCCGTGACGCGGCCGCTGCTGGGGCGGTGTCGATGACGCACCTGTGCACGAGTCTCTGTGTCTGAGATGAAGTGCACGAGTCTCTGTGTCTGAAGCGTATGGCTGAACGGAATAGATATGCAAGGCATTGACTCCACGCAAGCTATCGGTTCAAAGTCCTGTAGGCCAGTCAGTGTCCTTCCGTTTCGCGGCTGTTTTAAGTGCTACGGGCAAGTCATTTCAGCTTAGGGGATAACTTTATTTAAACGTCTGTGATATGGATTATATAATGTCATGGCTAGGCTTGCGTGCAGACATGTATTCGTGTTTTTGTCTTAGCACAGCTTACCGTGCATTATTATGTACTATGCTATCGTTGTTAGCTATGTTCAGTGATTTGTGTTATTGCTAGCTTCACATATGAGCACTTCACTTCTAGTCAAGTTGCTGCGTGAGCAGTGATGTACAAACAGGGTGTCCACGGGAGAAAAACTGCCCAGCTTTCAGACTATCCGGGAAGGGGCTGGAGAAGTACAGGTGTTCCTGTACTTAACGTTTTTTTGTTCTGGCACGTAGCTGAGTGGACTGATGCGTATTTGTCACATTTAAGGCGGTCAGTCCCGCAGCGTGGATTGAGACATAGCACATGACATGCTTTTCATTGAATAGGCCAGGAAGGGGATGCGTGGTTTTAACCAGTGCTTACCTATTTCTATTCAGCGGGCTTTATTGCTGAAAAAGTGGTCCGAAGATTCAGTGCCATGACGTGTCGCCTGTGTAAGCGCTTGATGGTCGTGGCCGTCAAAGGACCACATCGTGTGATGCTAGTTGGCGCCACGCCGCGCGTTGGCTTTTGGCGGAGCGTTGTTGCGTTGAACGTTGTGTGGTGTCGCGTCTGGCGATTACGTAGCGATCTCCCCCATATGCTTAATGAGCGATGGTCAGATGGGTAAGATGTCATCATTATCTGGACAACATAGCGTGATCCGCGTGTGTGTGTGTGTGTGTGCCGTTGAGGCTTTCCGACGCACTTAGCTGCTGAGACCTATATGGCGCCTCCTGCCTCTCGCCCTGGCACCGCGGGGAATCGAACCCCGTACCTCTAGTTTCCCAGACGCGCAGTGGTTGACGCAGACACGTTAGCCACTACATTACCGGCACCCGTGTGGTCCATGCGTAGACATTTTGCATGTGGCCACATACTGGTACTTCCTATGTATGCTGTCGCGAGATAGATTCTACGGTATCTGTAGAGTACGTTACCTGGCACCGACGTGATGCTGTCATCCCAGTTCAAAATGGACCGTGAATAGATATGTCGGATGTTGCGTCGCGTCACCAGTTTCTAATCTCGCACGACTTTTGCCACGTGCGGTAAGCCTCACTGCACTCCCGCAGTTCCTCCGTCCTGAGCCGAGCTCCTGCCTGCCGCCGGCCAGCGCTGCACGATCGCCGCGTTCGGCGAGTCTGAAGCGTATTATGGCCGTGGTGCGCCACACCAGCTCCGCGACGATGCGTCGCTGGAGGCAGACGTGGGTCACGACGGACGGGGCAGACGATGGAGTCGATCTCGGATGTATGACCCGTCGGAAGTGGGGACAGATCGCGACAAGACACTGCCGGAGGCAGCCGTGGGGCCATGGTGGGCGAGGCAGACGATGGGGTTGGTTTCGGATGTATAACGCGCCGGAAGTGGAACAGAGCCAGCACTGGACTGTTGCCTCCTCACAGTACGTACACAGACGCCCGTCTTGTGGAGTGTGGCCTTTGAAGTCACCCTGATCTCACGCCCGTCTGCTGGCGTTGCTTACGAGCTGCTGAATCTGCTTTTGCTATGGGATGTTTCGACCCCTCGGTGAGAGCCTGTCGACGTTTGTGTATTGTCAGTCCTGCATGACGCTTCCCAGCGAGTGTTGGCTGTCCCCAGTGAGTGCTGTTGTCCCCAGCGAGTGTTGGCTGTCCCCAGTGAATCCTGTTATCCCCAGTGAGTGCTTTGTCCCCAGAGAGTGTTGGCTGCCCCCAGCGTGTCTACGGGATGTGGTGCGATCAACCAATGTAAACTCCAGCCAGTGAGGCATGGCTGGCCTGCCCGCCGTGCTCAGAAGAAGTCCTCTTCGTTTGCGTTGGGCTCTGGCGTCGCCTCCTCGTCCTCCGCGCTGGTGGTTCCGGGTTCAGTGGCCGCCTGACTCTCCGTAGTGGCGTCTCCTCCCGTCTGGGAGGCCGCTGCCGCTGGCGGCGCGTCTCCCTCCGCCGATGCGTCCGCCTCCGATGCGCCCGTCTCCTGGGCTGTACCGTCGGCCTCTCCTTCGGTCTCCGAGACACCGGTCTCCTCGGCCGTCTCCTGGGCCGTGCTGTCGGCTCCTTCCGTCTCCGAGACACCGGTCTCCTCGGTCATCTGGGCCGTGCTGTCGGCTCCTTCCGTCTCCGAGACACCGGTCTCCTCGGTCATCTGGGCCGTGCTGTCGGCTCCTTCCGTCTCCGAGACACCGGTCTCCTCGGTCATCTGGGCCGTGCTGTCGGCTTCCCCTTCTGTCGTCGAAGCACCGGTCTCCTCGGCAGTCTCCTGGGCTGCGCCACCACCCTCGCCCTCGGTCTCGGAGGCTCCAGTCTCTTCAGCAGTCTCTTGGACTTCTTCGTTGGTTTCTCCCCCTGCCTCCGATGCTGCCATCTCTTCGGAGCCATCCTCGGTCACCCCGCTTGGCTCCTGCTCCGCCGCTGGCGGCCCGTCGAGTCCCATTTGCCCGTCCATTGACCCCGTAGTATCACCAACGGTCTCCTCTGTTGTCTCCTCCGCTGTCCCTTCAGCCGTCTCCTCCGCCGTCTCCTCTGCCGTCTCCTCCGCGGTCTCCCCTGCCGTATCATCTCCCGCCTCCACCGCCGTCTCTCCAGCCATCTCGTTCGCCGTCTCTCCTCCCACTTCGTCCGTAGTCTCCTCCGTTGTCTCCCCTCCCATCTCCTCCTCCGTCTGCCCCGTCACCTCCCCCGAGCTCAGCGACGTCCGGTCGGTGGCGTCGGCCTCCGTCTCCCCAGCTGCTTCGCCGCCGTCCGCGGCGGCCAGGTCCGCGCCGGACGTCGCCTCTCCTGGACTCGCCGCGCCATTGCCGCCGTCGTCGGCCGGCTGCGCGTCCGCCGTCGTGCCGAAGCCGAGGTCCGCGTCCGCTTCGGCCTCGGCGCCGGCCAGCGACGGCCGCGACCCCGTCTGGCTGCCGGTACCGGCCAGCGAGCCCGAGCTGCGGCCGGTGCGGCTGGCGCTGACGCTCGGCGGCGCGTCCGACTCGGTCGCCGTCTCGCCCTCCTCTCCATGATCGGTCGCGACCTCCGACGCGACACCGCCGGCCTCCGCATCGGACTGGCCCGTCTGGTCGGCGTCGGCGTCCGTTGTCTCCGTGTCGTCCGCCGCGCCGCCGCCAAAGTCGTCGAACGGGTCGGCGGCGTCGCCGTCGGTCGGCCCGCCGTCGGAGGTCGGCTGGCCGGGCGAGGTCGTGCCGCTGGCGCTGTGCGCCGACCCGGCGCGCGGCGTCGCCTCGCCGCAGCCCGGCGTCGGCTCCTCGGCGCCGTCCTCCCCAGCCGTCAGCGTAGCCTGGCTGTCGCTGCGCGGCTGCTCGCCGTCGTCCGTCTGGTCGATGGACCCGCCGTCGGCGTCGGTCTGCGGCAGCGTTTGGTCCTCGTCGGCGTCGGTCTGCGCCAGCGATTGGTCCTCGTTGGCGTCGGTCTGCGGCGGCGATTGGTCCTCGTCGGCGTCGGTCTGCGCCAGAGACGTGTCCTCGTCCTCCGCCGGCGCGGACTGCTGCTCTTCGGCTAGCCTGGCCGCCGATTCGCCCTCTTCGTCTATTCGGCTGAGGGACTTGGCGTCCTCGTCCGTCTGGTCGGAGGGTTTGTAATCGCTGTCACTCTGCGCGATGGTGTCTTCTTCCCCGCCGCTGCCACCTAACGGCTGGTCTTCTCCGTCACTCGTAGCAGGAGGCTGTTCCTCTCCATCGGTTTGTGCGGGTGATCCTCCCTCCTCATCCATGTCAGGGGCATTCTGAGCACTTTCACCCTCCCCTTCCGTCTCCTGGTCGCTCCGACCACCTTCCCCTTCTACTTCTGTCTCCTCTTGGCTACCTTGATCACCTTCGCCGTCTCCTTCTGTTTCCTCTTCGCCGCCCTCCCCACCTTCCACGCCTTCGTCCGTCTCGGCGTCGCTCTCGACACCTTCGCCATCGCCATCTGCCTCAGCGTCCTCCTCTTCCTCCCCATCTACCCCAGCTTCGCCATGTTCACCTTCTTCATCTCCCTCCGTCTCAGCACCGCTCCGCGCACCATCTTCCTCTCCGTCCGTCTCGGGGGCGCTCTGCTCACCCTCCTCTCCTTCGCTCCTCTGCCCGCTGGAAGCTGCGGGGTCTTCCGCGGTGTCCTGGTCACCCATCAACATCTTTTTCCTTTCCTCGGCCAGCTGAGACTCGATGCCGTCGAGGCGGCGCTGCTCCAGCTCGTCTTGGCGCAGCGACTCCTGACGGTGCGCCTGCAGCTCCTCCATCTGGCTGGAGATGCGCCGCTCCTCCACGTCCTGCTGCGAGATGCGCTCCTGCAGCCGACTCCACTCCTGCGACACCGTCTTCCGCTCCTGCTCGATCCGGCTCCGTTCTGCCTGCAGCTCGTCGCGTTCGTCGCGCGGCGCCGGCTCCTGCTCGTCGGCACCGGCCGCTAGCGCCTCCAGCCGCGCCCGCTCCTCGTCCAGACACTGCCGCTCCTCCTCCAGGCACAGACGCTCTTCCTCCAGCCGGTCGCTCTCCTCCTCTAGCCGCTTGCGCTCTCTCTCCAACTCCTTCTTTTTCTTTTGCAGGCCCTTGCATCCACCCTTGCTGCGGCGGCGGCGGCGGCAACCGCCGCTGCTCGGCCGCGGATTCCTCTTGACCGCCGTCGGGCCTACCAGCGGGCGAATGGCCGGCGGCCTGCCGCCGCAGTTGGAGTACATCTCCACGGCCGAGCAGATGGTGCCCTTGCGCGCGTTCAGCACGGGAATGCGCTTCCCGCGCAGCGTGTACTGCGGATCAATGCAGTTGTGCTTGGGCACCCTCCTGCCAAACATGTCCCACGCCTGCTGAGCGCAGTCGGACCGCACCACGGTCGTGATTCGAGGCGGCTTCGAGCAGGGCGGCCCGGAGCGGCCGGGCGGCGGCGGGCACGGCCAGCCGAGCGGCGCGCCGCCGCCGGCCGCCGAGGCGGCCTGCAGGGCGCGCCTGCCGGCAGACGCACGCCGTCGGCCGCCGGAGGAGCGCCGCCGGCCGCCGCCGGACCCACGCCGCCGCGTCGAGGCGCTGCTAGCACGCGAAGACACCGACACCGACTCCGCGTCCTCCTCGTCTTCAGGCTCCAGCACCGGCTCCTCCGCGTCCTCCGCCGCGAACCCTGCCGCCGAGCTTGCGGCGGCGGCTGCCCCTAATGCGGCGTCGGGTCGGCGCTCCTCCCGGCATCCTGCTGGGGCCCGACGGTGTCGGCGTCGGTGGCGGACGCCCCGGTCAGCGGCGCGGTGCCACTGGCGGAGGACACGGCGAACACGTCCCGCCGCGAGGCGCTGCTGGCGCTTGACGCAGCGGCGGCCGAGGAGGAGCTGGCGGTAGCCGACGCGCGGCTGCCGGTCTGCGAGGCCGTCACGCTGCCGGAGGCCGACCGAGCCACGCCACCCTGTGAGGCGCTGGTGAACACTTGGCCGCTGGGGCTGGAGGAGGCCGCCTCACTGCTGCTCGTCGCGAGCGGGCCGCCCCCGCCGGCGGACATCTTCTGACTCAGGTTCGGCGACATCTGGCCGCTGCCCGCCGGCGAAACCTGTCCGCTGGTGGTGGAGGCCACCCGCCCGCTGTGGCTGGATGACACCCGACCGCTGCGAGACGGGTTGACCTGACCGCTGGCGCTGGAGGAGACCCTGCCACTCGGACCCGACGACAGCTGGCCGCTATGGGTCGGTGACACCTGGCCGCTGGCGCTGGTGGACAGCCGGCCGCTGTGGGTGGACGACACGCGTCCGCTCTGAGTGGGAGAGATTTGTCCGCTGGTGTGGGAAGACGCCCTCCCGCCGGGGCTGGACGACAGCTCTCCACTCCGCGCTGGTGAGACCTGCCCGCTGCCCGGCGTGGACACCTGCCCGCTGGCGCTGGGCGACATTTGTCCACTCCTCGCGGGCGACACCTGTCCACTCCCGCTGGCGTACACCCGGCCGCTGGAGCTGGCCCCCAGCTGGCCGCTGGCGGCCGCCGACGCCTCGTCTCCGGACTGGGACCGCGCCGCGCTCGCACGGGACGCCGCGGCCGACAGCTGCGCGCTGCTGGCCGCCGCGGCCTGCGAGCTGCTGGCAGTCACGCTGCCGGCCGCGCTGGCGCCGCCCAGGGACGCGCGAGAGCCGGGCTCGGCGGCGCCGTCCGTGCGCGACGCGGCCGCGCTCGGTGCGCCGCTTCCTGACGTCACACCGCCGGCGGCGCTGGAGGAGGGCGTGGCCGCGCCGGAGCCGGCCGTGCTCGTCTCCGTTTGCGGGTCAATTTCGGAGGAGGAAGACACGCCCACCTTCGACCCGGCCTGGGTCAGGCGCTGAGACGGCGCCTGGCCCAAAAGTTGTGAGGATGTTTGCGCCAGGCGTTGTGACGACGTTTGCGCCAGACGTTGGGACGACGTTTGCGCCAGGCGTTGGGACGACGTTTGCGCCAGGCGTTGGGACGGTGTCTGCGCCAGGCGTTGGGACGAGGTTTTCGCCAGACGTTCGGACGAGGTTTGCGCCAGCCGCTGGGACGAGGTTTTCGCCAGACGTTCGGAAGATGTTTGTGCCAGGCGTTGTGAGGATGTTTTCGCCAGACGTTGGGACGACGTCTGCGGCAAACGCTGAGAAGACGTCGTGCTGACCGTGGAGCCGGTCTGCGCCAACCGCTGGGACGAGGTCGCGCCGACACGCGAGCCCGTCTGCGAGAGCTTCTGAGACGGTCGTGGCGACAGCGGAACCTCGGACTCCGGCGCAGACTGGCTGGCTGTCGGCGTCACCTCGCCGGAGCGCGCCGCGTCCGCCGACCCGGCCGGCGCCAGGTCGGACAGGCTGCCTGGCGACGCGCCGGCCTCGGCGGCGTCCGTCCGGGAGGCAGGCGCAGACCCAGGCGCGGTGTCGGACGCCGCAGCGCCGGAGGACGGCGCGGCGGCTACGTCCGGACGAGACGCGCCGAACGCAGCAGACGTGCGGCTGCCGGCCGCGGACGTGCGACTGCCGGTTGCGGACGTGCGACTACCTGCCGCGGACGTGCGACTGCCCGTCGCAGACGTGCGACTACCTGTCACTGACGTGTGACTCCCGGCCGCGGACGTGCGACCGCCGGTAGCGGACGTGCGACTGTCCGTCGCAGACGTGCGACTACCTGTCGCTGACGTGTGACTCCCGGCCGCGGACGTGCGACCGCCGGCAGCGGACGTGCGACTACCTGTCGCTGACGTGCGACTGCCGGTTGCGGACGTGTGACCCCCGACCACGGACGTGCGACTTCCCGTCGCTGACGTGCGACTGCCGGTCGCGGAGAGACTGGCTGGGAGGGCGGAGTCGGTGGCGGCGGGCTGGGAGGCGCCGCCGGCCACGCCGCCGCTCGCCGCCGTCGGCAGCTCGCCGAAGGATGGCGCAGGGCTGCCGGCTCCGCCCGCTTCGCTCTCTGACGTCACGTTGTTGCTGGACGGCGTGGCCTGCGTGTACGCGGGCGTCTCGCCGGAGGACACAGCGGACATGTCCGTGTCCGTGGCGGTGCCGCTCGGGGTCGCGGCCGGCGCCTGACCGGACTGAGAACCGCCCAGGTCTGGGGCATTGGCTGAGCTGGAAGCCGTGAGCGGTCCTCTAGATGAAGACTTGGCCAGGCTGGGTGACGAACCTGGGCCATTTGAAGGCGTCTTGGACAAGCTTGAGGCAGATGGGGGACGGGGTCCGTCTGATGGTGTCTTCGCCAGACTTGATGATGCCAACGGTCCCTTTGAAGATGCCTTTGCCAAGCTTGATGACGACAGCGGCCCCTTTGAAGAGGTTCTTGTTATGCTCGAGGTTCGTGTGGAACCCGGGGGCGGTGTGCTATCTGGTGGAAAGCCGCCAATGCTATTCTGGGATGGTCGCGATGGTCCCCTTTGCAGGGTTTGAGAAGATCGAGGTCGCATACTCTGCCTGCTCCCCGAAACTTCCATTTCGCTTCCAGTGGTTGATGCATTGCTAATTTGGGCGGCATCTTCGTCCTCATTTGAAGCTTCAGGGGATTGGCTATCCAGTTGTCCCTGAGAGGGTGACTCTGGCTGATTTTGTGACCCGGATGATGTGACAGAGCGTGCACTGGCAGTCTGGGGCGGAGAATTTGTTGCATCTTCGCTCGATGACATATCCGTCTATATTGTCTGTTGTAGATTTGTAACGCAGCTTTTCTTAAACGTGTTAGTGCTGAAATGACAAATTCTAAAGCCGTGGATCAATACCAAATCCATATGACTCGCCAGCGTGTAAAAGGGGCTTAAAACCGTCGTTATTATTTGTGAACAGAACAGACGCGTACGAAAGTGACCGTTAACATAATTTGCTTAACTGCAATTTTGTGTCCAATCTACGTCGCTGTTTCAGCGCTTGGAGCTACATTTACTTGAAAATTTGTGCGGCATGTCGTCTGCGTACGAAAGACTCCCGAACGAAAATGGGCATTTGATTTTGGCCGAGTTTTTGCAGGTGAGATTACTGCAGCTCCTCCGGGCTGAGGATTTTCCTCACTTTTGACACTAGATCTTTGCATCTTTAACCCATCATGGGCTATAGATCCGCGAGCATTCACTCACGTTACACGCCATGTGGGACACCTCTCACCTCTGTGCCAGGAACAGGTCGCTCGTACTCGCCTCAGGACGTCTGGTGCGGAAACATAAACTTGTGTTACCAATAACGTATTCGGAGGAAGTATCATAATCAACGCTATAACTGGCGAATCTGGCTAACAAAAAGCCACAAGGTCCTATCGAGGTTGACCTATATCAGGTTCCGGTTGACCTACCATGATGGTTTCACCGTTTTCGCAGTTTGCTACACTACTGATCTCGTATACCTGCATGTGAGGGAATAAACACGACATTCTGGCAAGGTGATATATAATGAAATCAAATTCGATGTGCACTACACCTTCATCTGAAAGACATCGCCACTTGAGAACGGGCTGACGTTTACGATAAATGTTAAATAACGCTCAAGGCCCAGAGGCAGCAACTTTCTTCAAGTCACTGTCTGAATAAGTGAGTGAGACTGCCTATATGGCCGAGAGTTTCTTGTTTCCAACACAATTCCGTCAGCACAGTTAAGACCTCCCGCGACGTATTTCGCAGGAATCATTGAAGCCGGTCAGCCTCCGGCGAAGCGGGGGGGGGGGGGGGGAGGGCAGGCGAGCGGTAACACTGACCGGCCCGTGGAAGAGGGGGGGGGGGGGGGTCACTCACTGTCGCTGTCACCTGCGGTAGCACCGCCACACAGCTGCATCGATCCAACTGACCGCTTCCGCTGGCCAGTTTGGGAGATACGGGACCTCCCAATCGATATAGATCCCCCGGCCGGTCACAACCGGTTTGGAGGGCCTGACTCGGACCCGCGGTCGGTGGTCTGACAGAGTCGGTCTCTGACTCATCTCCAGCGAGTCATGACTCGAACATCGCGTCACTGAAGTTGGGCTGTTGGCGCTGATGTGCCAGCCTCACGGGACCGCAAGTGCTCCGCGTGAGCCACGTGTCGGTTCGCTAGCTTGCGCCACGTCAGCCTCACGGGAGCCACTTTCACATCCGGACCGCACGGCACCACGCCTCCGAGTGCGGCTCTCGCTTCTCCCAGTTCGATCCACGGCGCGCTCGCATGCTTCAGTTTTGGCTGGGAACACACGTTCTCGCCAGTCAGAGGCCCGGCGCGCCGGCAAGGTGGGCTGCTAGCGTTCGACCCTCCCTGTGGTCAGCCGGGCAGCCACACCTCCTCACCAGTTCTGTCCGAGCACCCTCCGGACACCCTGGCTCTCCCGGGCTGAGACACGAACCGTCGAACACACCCGGGTCGGGCGGCGGTGCCTCAGTCGGCCCACTCGGCCGGGCCTAAGAAGACGGGCTCGCTGAACTCGCGCAGCTGCAGGTACGCCACCAGCGCGTCGGGCAGCGGCAGCTGGGCCAGCCGCTGGGGCAGCGCGCGGCCGCTGCCTCCCACCAGCTGGCGCAGCCGCAGCCGGCACAGCTGCGCCAGCGAGCGCGGCGCGCGCAGCTGCTGCACCAGCTGCTCGTCCGGGTGCTCCAGCGGCGGGCAGCCGGGCGCCAGGCGCGCGCCGCAGGACACCAGCGCGCGCGCCAGCCGGTCGTCCCGTTCGCGCATCGCCCACCAGAGGCTGGAGCGTCCTTCCGGGTCGGCGAAGTCGGTCGGCGCGCCGAGCAGCGCCAGCAGCAGCGCCAGGCGGTGCCAGCTGGCGCTCGGCTGGCGCGCGGCGAGGTACAGCGGGCACTGCTGCCAGCTGTCGGCCGAGGCGAGGCAGGCGCCGGCCGCCACCAGGCGCGCGGCCATGACCTGGCGCCGGTGCCACACGGCCGTCCAGAGCGGCGTGTGGCCATAGAAGTCCGCGGCGCTGAGGTCGGCACCGGCCGCCACCAGCGCCGAGAAGATGGCGTCCTGGCCCAGCCGGATGGCGGTGACCAGCGGCGGCTCGACGCGCTCCAGGGCGTCGCTGCTGCGTCGGTTGGCGTCGGCGCCGGCGGCGAGCAGCGCCGCCACGATGGCGGCATCGCCGCCCTGCTGCGCCCAGGAGAGCGGCGTGCGCTGGCCCTGCAGCTGGGACGGGTCGGCGCCGGCCGCCAGCAGCGCCGTCACGGCCGCCAGGTCACGCCGGCAGATCGCCAGCCGCAGGTCGTTCGGACCAGGCCGCGCCGGCGGCATGACGCTCCAGGTTACGGTCCGGACGGGGCGGGGCGGCGCAGCCCTGTCGTGGTGGTCCACCGATAGGTCACGTGTTCGCTCCTCGGGACCATGGCGGGACGCCGAGAGCGGTTACGTAACCCCACAGACGAGACTAGGGCTCGCTTTCCGTCGGAGGACAGGTTCAGCGATTCATTATTGCTTATCTTCGCCGGTTCCAAGACGGCAGTGTTGGCGGACGGCTTTGGTCTCTCCTGGACAAATAACAAACGGGTTTGTCAGATGCCATGTATACTGGTCATCAGAGTGACTGACTGAAAGGGTAGTCACTGATATCGTTGATTACAGACGCATCTCTAACATGGCTGCCTGATAGACCGATCACTTAGAAACGGTCATTGACGCGGGTGACGTGGCGGCGGCTATTGCAACAGCTGGCCTGCTTAGGTCATTGACACGGCTAGCCGACTAAAGGGTCCCCGCAGCAGCAGCAGACATGCCGATGGATCAGTGACCCAGCAGACTTACTTCCGGGTCACTGACACGGAAGCCGCGTCAGTGGCCCAGCGGGCTGGTGGCTCGTCAGCACACCGATCCTGGACACTGGTGATGAGAGCACCACTCACCCGTCCCGGTTACCGACGGCACCTTCGCTGACTGCCGAACGAAGCCACGAGGAAGAGGCGCTGTCACCGGTGATGAGAGCACCACTCGCCTGCCCTGGTTACCGACGGCACCTCTGCTGACTGCCGAACGAAGCCACGAGGAGGAGGCGCTGTCACCGGTGATGAGAGCACCACTCACCCGCCCTGGCTACCGACGGCCCCTCCGCGGACTACTGGAGGAAGCCGCGGGAAGGAGGTGCTGTCCCGACCCGCCCGTACTGCGACGCTCCTATTAATACCGCCGCAGCTTGGCCCGGAGACACAGCGCCGCTCCCGGTAAAAATAGACAGAACCGACGCATCGGCAGCGCCGTGCGCCTCCCCCGCCGACGCTCAGCTGATGGCCGGAGTTTTCGGCGGGGCGTGCTCCGCATCGGGAGCGTGTGTCCTGCGTGTCCGGTGTCCTGAGCGTATCCTGTGTCCTCAGCGTGTCCTGCACTTCCCGTGAGCGGGTGCTCTATGCTGACGCTTGCGATTGGTTGGAAACTAGACGCTGAGGTTCAAGCGTGATTGAGGCAGTGATCAGCTGGCAACAGCCGATGTACATGGTAGCGGCACACCTGCGCGCCGGCGGTCAAGAACTTCCGGCATCGGAGGATTGCCCGCGGCCGGGTGGAGGGGCGCAGATTGGGTGGGTAGGGTGTCCGACCAGTGTAGAACTGGAGAGCAGGCCGGCACAGAGCCGTTCTTCATTACATTAGACCGAATAAACAGCTTGCATGGAACGGGTAAGGTGGTGATGTAAATATACCAGATCTTGCCATGTAGCATCGCCCACAAAAAAACATTCGTAGGCCAGTAATAATGAAGTGCCATCTCTTGAGGCGCCGTCTGGCCGGACTGTGAGAAACTGACCGAGCCTGCCTGCCCCACCGTCCTTAGACGGCGCTAACGCCACCAGCTGATCGTGGCCAGACCGGTGGCCGCGTATTTTAGTTATTCATGGCTAACGGCTTCAATCTACGTCGCGCACCCCCCCCCCCCCCCCCCCCCCCCCCCCCCCTCTGCTTCAGCCAGCCACTGAATGTTCCCTGGATATATCTGAAAACGAACTCGCTCCATGACCACAAAATTTGTGCAAGGTATTTTGGCTGCCGCTAAACACGGTTTTAACTTTATCTGCAGGTAAAGGGAGGCATGAACGTTCTCCACAATCGAAACATGAACACTAGGAGAAACGTGCCTGAAACTACCTTTGTCAACCTGGCGGGGATTGCAACGTTTACGGACGGTACTAGCAACGCAAGGCGTTTCTTTTTTACAGGTCACGAGCACGACCAGGTCAAAGAACGCCCGCCGGAGCGCTTAAGAAACCAGGGCTTGGACGCTGGGCTCACCACACACGAAACGCGGCAACGGATCCTGAAACTCGCTCGTGATTTCCTGTTACGAAACAGCTGCGGGTTCACTGCCATGGCTACTTGCTACGGCAAGCCGGCTCATCCGGGACACCGACGAAAAGTGGCTGCAGAAATCCGGGTCCGTATATTCCGTCAACCGCTAACTTCCAATCACGATTACGCAACCACGGACAATGCGTTTCTTGAGACGGCGCAACCCGGCACAAAAACACGTCCTCCTCCGCCTCTCATCCCCCTTCCGGAGCAATCGCAGTCGTATCGCGCGTGCAATCCAAACAGCAACACCATCCTTGACTTGCCGCGCAACCACTGCCGTCATCACGCCCCAGCGCGCTTCAGGAAAGCAGCCATCCGAGGTCCCATCTCGTCCCGGGCTAGCCATCAGCAGCGGCGACAGAGGGCGTCCCGGCCCAGCGGCATCTGCCGCCGCCCTCCAGCACCGGGAGCCAGCGGCCGGCCGACGGACTGTCCCATCAGCAGAGGGAGGCCCCGTCACACACTCGTCCGCCGTGACCTCCCGGCCGCACCACGTGCTGGCAGCGGGCTGAACTCTGACTCAGAGCCGCGCAAGGCTGGGCTCTGATTAAGCACCGCGCCCGACAGCAGGCTGGACTCTGACTCAGCGCCGCGCCAGACAACATGCTGGGCTCCGACTCAGCACCGCGTCAGGTTGGACTCTGACTCAGCGCCGCGCCAGACAACAGGCTGGACTCTGATTCAGCATTGCGCCAGACAGCAGGCCAGACTAAGACTCAGTACTGCGTCCGACAGCAGGCCAGACTCTGACTCAGCACCAGGCCAGACAGCAGGCCGGACTCTGACTCAGCACCGCGCCAGACAGCAAGCTGGACTCCGACACCCGACACTCGGGTCTTGGCGAGGCCGCCATCCCGCCGGGGTCCAGCGGCCGCTCACACGCTGATGGTGCGGAACACGTTGAAGCCGCTGTGAGCGGTGGACAGGAGGCAGCCGGGCGCTTGAGGGTGCCAGTGCAGCTCCTTGACGTCCTCCTGGCCCTGGTGGATGAACAGCAGCTGCGGCGGCAGCTCCTGCGGCAGGGCAAGCGGCATCACCACGATTAGGTTCCCGACCACGACCAGACCAAGACTACATGTACTCTTCCCGGCCAGCATATCGCGTGGCACTACCGTGTACAATCATCACCAGATCAATACAATTTTATGATCAATCATCACTGAGACGATGAAAGCATTGATATCAAAGCTTAGGCGTCAGTCAAAGTAAGAACAATGCATGCTGCGTGAGTGCTGCGGGAGCGAGAAAAACGCTGCAGGAGTGAGAACAACATGCAGTGGGAGTGAGAACGATGCGGCAGCGAGCAAACAACGAAAGCGGTGAGCCAGTAGAGACGATGCGCGCAAATCATACATGACACAAGGAGACGGAGGTACCAACGAAGAAAACCCTAGCGCGAGATGACGTCGGCGTGGCAGTGGGCAGCAGCAGCGCGACGCGTACAGTTCTCAGCCTCCACTCACATTCAGTTTGGCATCGGCTGCGGCCGAGCTGCCAGCCGCCTCGTCGTCGCGCTCCACCGAGAGGTCCCACTGCACCACCTGGTCGTCGGCGCCGCCGGACGCGAACACGGTGCTGTCCGTCGGGTGCCACTCGACCGTCGTCACGGGCGCCGAGTGGTGCTTGAACAGCGCCACTGGCCGGCCCGACTGCGGCCGCGCAGGAGGAGTGGGGGGTCAGGCGTCTCCCCGGTCATGACCAGCCCCTGTCACACTCACGGCCGCCGCTCCAGCTGCCGGGCGTCGCCTTACAGCCACGCCACAGAACTCGTGTCAGCCGCCCGCGCCGACTGCCACGTGTAGCTCGCGAGAGCGTCCACCATTCACATCCAACCCTCAGCAGGGACACGCACCACCTTTACGGCTACCGGGGTCGCTACCTATTTGCACTAGCGCATTGTGCCGGTAGAGGACAGAGCACAGCAACCCGGCGTCCGAAATGACCTCCAGTCCGGACATTTCCACCGTCCCCACGACCCCTCTGAACACCGAAGCACACGCCGCCGGCACCGGGTCGCCTCACCTGCAGCGTGCGCAGATCCCAGACACACAGTTTGCCGTCGTCGCCGCCGCTCACGATGAACGGCTCTGTTCGGTTCCAGCTGATGACGTTCACGTCGCTGTCGTGCGCGTCGGGCACGTGCAGCATGCCGGCCTTGGCCGGCGGCGCCCGGCTGTCCCAGATTCGAATGCTGGCGGCGGCACGCGACCAAGGCATCAGGCGCCGGCGCGCGAAAGAAACGGAGAGAACGAGGAAGCGACGAGAACAAGAATGAGAACGTGGAAGCGACGAGAACGAGAATGAAAACGAGAGCGCGTTCTCTCTCTCTCTCTCTCTCTCTCTCTCTCTCTCTCTCTCTCTCTCTCTCTCTCTCTCTCTCTCTCTCTCTCTCTCTCTCTCTCTCTCTCTCTCTCTCCTCTCTCTCTCTCTCTCTCTCTCTCTCTCTCTCTCTCTTCGGGGTGCACGGCGCGACACGGTATTCTGCCCGGTGGGAGAGAGCGAACTGGGACCCCTTCGCTCCCAAACCACGGATCTGAACCACGCTGTCATGGGACAGGCAGCCAGCTGTCGAGTGCGACCGAGTGTCTGGGCAAGGGCGTGACCCACATGGCCGTAGTATAGTGACTTGGCTCTAGGACTCGGGTCTGACTTCGACGCAGTGCCCTGGGTCTGAGCCACTCAGACCCCACAAACCGGCACCTTCCCACCGTCACACCGGCGCTTCCCGCCTGGTGGCGCCACCGAGCGGCCCGGCGGGACCGCCCCGCACCTTTTGTCGACGGAGCACGACGCGAACACGGTGGCCTCGTTGGGCGACCACTGGATGTCCTCGACAGAGGCCGTGTGCGCGCCGTACGGCCGCTGGTCCACGCGCCACGTGCCGGCCGGGCCCGGCTGCCACACGTGTATGCTGTGGCCGCAGTCGCCTGTCGCCAGCACACCTGGCGAAGTAGAGACCGCGCCTTCTGTCAACAGGGGCGTCCGCGCGCGTGCCGCCGGTGCTCGGAGTGAATGCTTCTCGCAGCACGGAGCGTCACGTGATGTAACACACACGGCGCCCCCAGGGCGACGCGAGCGCCGGTTGACGGTCCCCGAGACCGAGACACCGGCTCGGACGAGATCGCCGGGCAACACCACACCATGCTTTACAGTATGTAGAATCAGTATCTATGGAAGCATCAGTATCTATAGAAGCCAAAGCCGGGGGGTCAATCCCCGCTCACCAACGCCCCCCCCCCCCCCCCCGCCCATCGGCGGCGGGGACTATCACTGCGTGCGTCGCAGGGAGAGGAGACGGGAGATTTCCCCCGCGACGGTCCTCACCTGGCGTCACCGACGACCAGTCGACGGCGAACCCCTCCGTCTGGTGGCCCTTGAACGTGAACACCGGCTTGGTGTTCTTGTCCTCCGAGTTGCGGGCGTACAGGGAGGCGGCCGACGGGTCATCGACGGCCTCCAGCGCGCGCGCCAGGTTCCAGACGTGCACGCTGCCCGTCTCGGACCACGTGGCGCAGAGCGGCACCTCCTGCACGGTGGTGGCCTGGCGGGGGGCGCGGACGCCGCGTCAGGGTGTGGGCCGCCTCCACAAGGCACGCGTAGCATTAGGACCGCGCGCTGGTTGTACAGGTTGTGAAGGTGGTGACAGCCACAAGCGACAGTAGCAGGTGCTGGCTTTGGATAAGGAAGAATGCCCTGCCCGGGAGCAAAACCACGGACCGTTTGGGCACTTCGGCCGGGCACTCAGTGTAAAAGAACGATGCCATGACAGCGAGAGTCGCACGTGCCTGCCGACGTTGCCCCCTGGAAGATGGCAGCATACTCAAGTCACCTGAATACGGCCAGAGCACGCTCCATCCAGACACCATGGGAATGAGCTTACCCTGACGCGGTTGACGCATCCGATGTGTTTGATGGCCGCCGTCTCCAGGTCAGGCAGCTCCTCCTCATCGTCCTCTTCGCCGCTGTCCTCACTCTCCTCGTCGTCCGAGCCCTTCTCCTTGGACTTCTTGTTCCGCTGCATGTTCGACATCTGGCGGGCGCGGACCGCACGCGTAACGCACCAACCATCCCAGAGATGGCGCCAAGAGCGGCCGAACCGAATCAGCGAGAAACGGGTCCTCACGGTCAATGAGAATTGGATATCGGACATCACGTTTGAAGGCCTCCCGACAAAACTACCCCATGTGCGCCGACCAGCTCTTAGACCAGCGTGCGCCGACCAGCTCTTAGACCAGCGCGCGCCGACCAGCTGTCAGACCAGCGCGCGCCCGACCAGCCGTCAGAACAGCGCGCCCGACCAGCTCACCCTCACAGCCAGCCCGTCTGCCGGCCGGGCGCGGGGCGCCCCGGCGGGCGGCGGCCGCTCCCGCCGCACCTTCAGCACGATGACGGCGTTGCGGTTGGCGCGGTCGGCCTGGGTGCCGGCCACCATGTACATGGTGAGCGGGTACTCCGTCCGGTTGTCGCCCAGCCGGTCGCGCACCACGTCGAAGCTCAGGCACGGGTCGCCTGCCGGGCGCGACCCACGGGTCTGTCATTACGCGATGTTCAGCGTCACCGCCACCGCCGCCGCAGCTCACGCCGATCACAGCGAGACAACATTCCTTACTAGCGACGGAGGAGAGAAGGGGCACATTACACCAGATATATGTGTTCAATTTATGGGCATGTTATGGGGGTAATAAGCAAAATTAGTCCTGAAGGTCTGGTGAAGGACGAAACATGCCATGGCGCCCGCGCGGCGACGAACACTGCCGCCATCACTGTCGCCCCAATATCTGCACGGGCCCTTGGGTATAGTTGATCACTTTTCAATTAATTCGGTGGCAGGTAGTCCTGCACTCGCGAGTGCTTGGTCAATCACACACGGGTCTGTAAACGTGCCTTCTGACGTCCAAACACGGAAAGCTATGAATGGCACAAATTCTATGTTTGGATGGAGCAGTCTGAGGGTGCTTACCCCAGAGGTCAGAGCAGTCTGAGGGGGCTCACCCCATAGGTCAGACCCGAAATAAGATCGCACCCAGAGCCGATCGCCAGACCTCTTCCTCTGCAGGACCGCGCGCTGATCGTTGGCATCCCGCCGTCCGACTGACCAGTATGGGCCTGGTGGAACATGACGTAGGCCGACTCGTCCACCACCAGCTCCTCGTCTTCGGCCAGCGCTCGTCCGGGCAGGTACACCTCGTCCGCCGCCGCCGCCGCGCCGGAGCCGCCCTCCTCCTCCTCCTCGTCATCGTCGTCCTCCTCCTCGGCGTCCTCCATGGGCGCGTCCTCGGGCGGGGCGCCGTCCGGACCTTCGTCCATCGCCAGTCGGCGGAGCGCACCTGACGGAGCGCCCGCGGAGCGGTGAGCGCACGGACGCCATCTGGCGGCCCCAGGCGATCTGGCAGCGCTGGTGGCATCGCACACACCCAGAGCTGGATATCAATGTTTATATGGATATCTGATGGATAAAACATCGACATCCGAGCTGGATATCGATGTTTACCACGTTCACTGGGCGTCAGGCCGCTTCGGTATATCCCGCTCAGTCCACGAACCGGCCGAATAATCTGACGATTACACACAGTATCGGCATCGGCGGCATCGTTCACAGACACACGAACATGGATCAGCCCGTGCGCATGAACTCAGATTAGCGCACATGCCAGCAGGCCTGACTACCCGTGGTCCGGTCACCCGTGGGCGTGGTCCAGACCCCACAGAGGGCGGTCCCGCTACCGCCCGACGCGGGCCGGGCCGGGCCGTGTCCGTCGCCCACTCACCAATGATGTCGTGAGCTGAGTGCGAGCCGCGCGCTCCTCCGGGCAGGCACCGGCCGCACCTGCACCCACCGGCGCCGTCAGCGAACACCACGACACAGCCGAGGCCGAGCCGGCCTCAGCCGCTGTATCAGACATTGGTGGTGGCATCATGGATGCTCAGAGTTGGATATCGTAGTTCATCATATATTTTGCAGGAGATGACTAGTGAACAACTTACAGAAGTACTTCTACCTAAATCCATTTGACATGAATGCCACATTTCTAATGTGGCACAACATCAGGCACCAGGGCCGGAAGCAAAATATGTGCTATCAAACAAACACAAAACTACTCAGACCAAGGAAGACTCATCACAAGACACACAGCATTGCGACCCTTACTTTGACAATGATGTGTTGATTCACCACCGGGCACTGCCTGATGATTCTGGGGCTTCTGATTCCTCAGCCTCAATAAGCTGCTGTATCAGCTGCAGACATGTGACCATGCATTTGTGTTAGACAGGAGTCAGTCTTACAGTGTCGTGGTCCATGCAGCGGCCCCTCAGTGGTGTGAGGTGGCAGCATGCACGCTCAGAGTTGGATATTGAGGTTCATCATGCTAGTGAATTTAACACATCTTGCATTTAACACATCAGTATGTTATGGCAACCTATCTTCCTAACATTACCTATGGCCCATAGGTCATGTTGAGAAGGAAACCCTTTGCAGGAAAGGAAAGACTGCCAAGCATTGCAGCATGTTAAGTTTCAGCTTTTAATGTTGATCAGCTTAAGGGCTTATATTTGCTTACCATGTTGATTGTTACAGCCAAAGAATGCACTTAACTGCAAGCACAAGACTAGTGCACCATCAATACCAAAATAAGTATGGCCACAAGGCCATATAACTGTGTATCTTACCTTCAAAAATTACTCAGCCTTGTGCCACAACTCTGGAATCAGTAACAGTGAGTGTAAGAAAGGGGGGGCTGCAATCTTCACAAACAGCCTCAATATAAGCATCAGTAACATGTAAGAGGCATCACACATGCTCAGAGTTGGATATCGGTATTCATCATGTTTGTCACAAACACATGATTATGGACATATTTCTGGGTAGGTTGTGCTCAACATTGCGGCATGTTAAACTTCAGATTGGCATGCATATATTAGATCAAAACATTGATTACTGCTGCCAAATAATTGTGTAACTGCAAACACAAGATAAATACACCATCTATATGTAGACAGCAGCCACAAAGTGAGATGGCCATATAGCTTACCTTTAATGAAGATTTTCAGGTTTGCTCAACAACTCTGGAATCAGTTAACACTGTGTATTAGAAATGGGGAATGCAGGGCTCACAAACAGCCTCAGTACTAATAATCAGTAACATGTAGAGGCATCACATATGCTCAGAGTTGGATATCGATATTCATCATACTTGTTACAAACATCTGGACAACAAAGTTCTGTGAGCCTCATCATGCCCACACCAGACAAGAGAACAGATTACACTCACCTGGTCCCAAAAAACAAGGTCACCTGGGATATACAAGTACAGGTTCAATAGCTTGCATCACATATCCCCTGTAAAAGGGCATCAGTCAGCTTAACCTGTGACTGCATGCTAACAACACAACTGGGAGATAGTGATGAAGATTGCAGCTGGGCTTCTGTGGTCTGTTTGTGTTGAAATTCATTAATCATTGCTCTATAAAAACTTAAGACTTGTACAAAATCCATAAATATAAATAAGCACAATATACAGAGCATAGACTACAGTGTGACCAGAGATTTCACTAGCAAACTCATCATGTTTGCCACAAAGACATAAATATGGAGATATGTCAGGGTAGGTTGTGGTGAACATTGCAGCATGTTAAACTTCTGATTGTCATGCTTATATTAGATTATAACATCAATCACTGCTGTCAAATAATTGTGTAACTGCAAATACAAGACAAATACACCATCTATATGAAGACCACAACTGCAAGGTGAGATGGCCATATAGCTTACCTTTAAGGAAGGATTTCAGGTTTGCTCAACGACTCTGGAATCAGTTAACACTGTGTATTAGAAATGGGGAATGCAGGGCTCACAAACAGCCTCAGTACTAATAATCAGTAACATGTAGAGGCATCACATATGCTCAGAGTTGGATATCAATATTCATCATACTTGTTACAAACATCTGGACAACAAAGTTCCATGAGCCTCATCATGCCCACACCAGACAAGAGAACAGATTACACTCACCTGGTCCCAAAAAACAAGGTCACCTGGGATATACAAGCAGAGGTTCAATAGCTTGCATCACATATCCCCTGTAAAAGGGTATCAGTCAGCTTAACCTGCAACTGCATGCTAACAACACAACTGGGAGATAGTGATGAAGATTGCAGCTGGGCTTCTGTGGTCTGTTTGTGTTGAAATTCATTAATCATTGCTCTATAAAAACTTAAGACTTGTACAAAATCCATAAATATAAATAAGCACAATATACAGATCATAGACTACAGTGTGACCAGAGATTTCACTAGCCAACTCACACATGCTCAAAGTTGCATTGGAAAGTGTACCATGTGAGCTAGGGCTTTGCTCAATATATTTACATATCAAATATCTGAGCCTGATCAATAAATGAATCCATAATAAACACACACTATGGCAGGTGGGTGGGTGGGTTGGATTCCTCCAAAAGGATTTTGCAGAATAACTACTGAATGGTTTTTATAAATTTGGTCCAAACCCTTTGAATGGATATGTAAGCCTGATCAATATATAAAAACAATATATAAGCCTGATCAATCCATGAATCCATAATAAACACACACTATGGCAGGTGGGCAGGTGGGTTGGATTCCCCCCTAAAGGATTTTGCAGAATAACTACTGTTTTTTATAAATTTGGACCAAGCCCTTTGAATGGATGGATTTGTGGGATCAGCACTCATGCTAAGTGGTCAATTGTTCCCCATCTATTTTCCACCAATCTCATGGTCATTCCTGTTAAATTGTAAAAAATCTGGTCAGACATGTTGCTTTGGCACCTGTCATTTGACCCAGACTGAGATAGTCTGCAGACAGTATTACTGCTGCTCAAGATCAAATGAGGTCAGAGGCAGGGCAGTTGACACTGTGCAAGCATTACAGCATATTAATTTAAGCAATACAATTCTGCTGATTCACCAAAATTTAATTAAGTGATAGTGGTGTCAGGGATAACCAAACAAGCCCTGCTTAGTGTATACTCTGATCCAGGAATGAAATCTATGAAAATGTTGATAATTAATATGTCTTTGGAGACACCACACTGCCAAGAGAATTACGCCCACTGATGGCTAAAACGGAGCACATCTACATTAGTAAAACAACGAACCCAATGCAAAACGGAACCCTCACTTTGATTAGCAGCATGTTCGTACTACATAGGTACCCCTTACTATCCCCCGTTGAATCAAAATATATTTCGCAAACGAAGCTGCCAGGAAGAACGAGAAGGGCGCAGCCAACCGGTTGGCAGGGTTTGCTAAGGAGACAGCTAAACAACTCACAAAAACAGCAATTCCCTTCCAGACACATAGGATGCTGCTAATTTGCACCAAGTCATAGTAAAAACAATTTCCCAGTATCTCCAATTCCCAAATCCCAAACCTCCATAAACAACCACGTGGCCCACGCGCTCACACGTGCTGCGGCAAAATGCAAGGCACGAAGTTGTACGGCTTAGCCCAACTGTTGTTCGGTAAAATATGATGTTGACCTCAAGTATCCTATCATTGGTTGCTAGAAAAATTCACTGACAAGATGAGCATTGTTCATCGCAGCTGACAGGGTTAGTGATTGGAGACACTGGAAATCAAAGTCTATTATATGCTTTTGAAAACTTATTTTATCCAATGAGGGACAAGAACTTCGTATTTAATAGAGGCTGAACAGGCTGGTTTTGTCTAATGTGCGCCGTTATCTATTTGTTTGGATTCATTGTTTCGTCTGCTACCAAAACGAGTGGGGGAACAGTGTGCAAGGGCCCAGAGCTGAGTGTGTGTACAGCCTGACTGGTAATTCGGTTTGGGTGTGGTGCTGCGGTGAGAGAGCTGTGGGGGGGGGGGGGGCGAGGGACTTGATCTGTTGTTTTTTTCGAGAAGAGCTATTGCATAATTACGTGCAGCCTACAGCACGGCTTGCAGTGTTCCAGTCCAGTTGCTGTCCAATACTCACCATGCCTAAGACATATTTTCATGGGTGTTTCATGGGTTCATGTGGTTTATGAAGCCAATCACCTGACCCAAGTGCTCAGTATGGTTAACAAGTACAGATAATCCATTCAGGGTTGTAGTTTCCTATGCATTTCAGGTGAGGGGGGGGGGGGCACCAGACCCCAAATTTGGGTTCCAGCCCCTCCCCCAAACATTGGCTCTGCCCCCTCCCCCCCATTTGGGGAAGAAAGTGGCCCATATCCATCAAGAGACTTGTTGGCCAGATGTTACAAATACTTCCATCCCTGACATGTGGTGCAACAGCCACACAGGGCAGCTATTTCAGTATGTGCACACCACAAGTCTGTGAGCCCAGAGTTTGCAGCACAGTTGCCACCATGATGGCATGATAGGCAATGTTTCAAGATATTATAATTTTGTTAGAGTATTTTTGGGCAAAATACTTCTCACTTATGTTCTCTAGAAAGAAAATTAAAGATTAGAACAATTTATCCTGGTTTGGGTTTGGTATATGCCTGTTCCAGGGTCAGTACATCAGTCATGTAAACATAAGTGTATAGTGGATGGAGATGTTGCAGCCTGGTGTCTTGGCACATTTTATGGTAGGATAAGTAATTTTTCACTGCTCAGCCTCCTAACCAGGGTTGTGGTTTCCTATTCAGCTGGGTTTATCAGCCCCCAAGCATTGAGAAGAAAGTGGGCCATGTGCTAGGAGGAATCCTGGGCCCTTAAACCCCAAACCCTGAAACCCCCATCTTCCACAAATCCTAGATATGTGACATTAGGATTAGGATATGTCACTCGAGAGAGTGAGTCCGCAATGATTTACACAAGAACCACCTCTCCCCTCCCCCACTGTGAGCCTGAGTCCCACCCTCCCTGGCTGCATGTCTCCACACAGACTATCAAGCAATCCTCCACCTCATGGTAGTGTTTGTGAGACTGTGCCTGTCCTGTTCTTAAACCAATATGCGTACATAGGTATGCGTTGAGCACATGCAAGTAGGTTATGTAGCAGTCAAACTTTATTCCTAAGTGTCATGGTTACAGCTTTTGTGTGGGTTTTGTGTGGACAAACTCATTGTGCCATGCATCTTGGGGATATAGGCCCTGCCCCCCCCCCTCCATTGAATTATGTGACTGTTGGGCTTTTTGGTGGTTGTATCAGTGTGTATGTGTGTGTATGTGGGGTAGGGGAAGGGGGATAAGGTCAGTGTGCAGCTTTGAAGCATAAGCCCTCATGCATACATGATGTTGTTTATTTCTGAAATACAGTTTGTGTGTTCTTGTGTCTGCAGGCAGCCATCAAGTACTGGAGTTAGCAGAAAACTTGCACCACACCCATCAGTGGGAGCATCAGCTGTGCCGCTATGGGGTCTCTGGCCAGCCGTCAGGAGGGCACCACCGAGGAGCTGGACCCAGAGCATGTGCACTCCTACAAGTACCCACCAAAGTCAGGTCAGTTTACAGCTCTGTGTGTCTCCAGTGTGTTGCTTCTAGCTTTGTGTGTCTCCAGTGTGTTGCTTCTAGCTTGGTGTGTCGCCAGTGTGTTGCTTCTAGCTCTGTATGTCTCCAGTGTGTTGCTTTTAGCTCTGTGTGTCTCCAGTGTGTTGCTTCCAGCTCTGTGTGTCTCCAGTGTGTTGCTTCTAGCTCTGTGTGTCATCAGTGTGTTGCCTGCATGTATGTTGGCACCTAGAAAGGGGTGTGAACCATAAGGTATTGCTAAAATACCTCCTCATAGAATCATTGCCCCCTTCACTCTCAAGACTACAAGTGAAAATTACAAGTACTTGGCCAACATGGGCAATCCCAAACCTGCTGGTGTATGTTAGTTACTTTGTTAGCCTGCATCAGCAGGTACTTTAGCCCAGGTACTTCAGCCTTTTGTGTCTTACTGCATTGTGAATTTTGTGTTTCCCATTTCACAGCAGCATTGATGTACTAGTATATGATATGTCAGTGCAATGTGATTTTAAAAAAGTTGGTCCATTATGTTATTTGCCATGGGCACCATGTGATAGCATGCTGGGGTCCCAGACATCCCCCATGCATAACTTGGTCGGGGGAGCAGATGCAGTGCTTGTTGTGCAACTCATAGGTTGGTCTGCAGAATCACATTACCCATACCTCTTGATCATGAGATCATAATGAGCACAATATTAAAGCCAAAGGTGTGATATTAAAAGTATCACTGTCTCAAAAATGGGAGCTGCATAGATTGTGAACCCATGTGCCAAAAACCTCGGCGAATCTCTCTTCATATGTGCCATGGATGGCATAAGTGCCTCCCTCTCAGTTGAAGGGTGCATGGCATGAAGGTATATGAGCACTGGGGTGCAGCATTGCCTACTCATTACCTGAGGAGCTATTATAGTGATAAACTGGTAGGCTGGTGTGTTATTGTATGGCCATTGCTCATTTTCAGGCAATTATTTTGGCACCCATTTTATAATGGGAGGGTGACAAGTTTGAGACACCACAACCGGAAGCCTATCTGTTTGGAGAGAACAGCGACCTGAACTTCCTCAGCAGCAAACCGGCGCCGGTAGGTGGACCGCCTTTGGGGGGTGACATGACCACCTCAGTGGCGCGCCCACGCACCCCAATAAACAACAAAAAGTGGACTGCCTAGCAGTAAGTCTATTCTTGCCGCATTCCTTTTTTACAAGGCTGTGTTGGAAGTCAATGCGCCATATAGATTTGTTATCGCTCTACGCTCTACACTTTAACACTTTAACATTTTATTGGGAAAGGATACGGGAATGCCGCCAGCCATTCGTCGGTTGCCGTGTTTTTGTGTTATGGAGAAAACTAGGAACTGCTGGTTGTTTTTTTTCGCCAGTAAAAATGAAGCGAATTTTTTCCTGGTGACCATTTCCGTCTGTTTGCTATGCAGCATTTGCCACTTGCAGGATGCTATACTACCTAACATTAGATAAATGAGGTGGCTTTTACAGGCAGTTTACCTCTGCAAATTTCAATTCAGTTCCTGTAAATCTATCTGCCAATAAATGTTTCTTCGTGGTGGACGGACTTGTATGTCGTATGTTTGCCATGAATTTGGGCGTCGTATGAAATAAGGATTGTAATTAAGTTTTGTGTCATCAAATTCATTCATTGGCGTGACAGGTGGACCTCGTCATGACAGGTGGCTGTCATATGACATCAGGATGGTCAATGAGTTTCGTGTCATCAAGTTCATTTATTTGTCTACTTGTTAACTTCTTTGTGAAAGGTAGCAGGTGGAAAACGCAGTCCTTTTGCACATTGGTCGGCTTTATGCGATGTGGTGTCCTGTATCCTGTTCATTGACTGGTTGTCGGCAGTGTCCGTATGCCCTGTCGGCGCCTAACGAGCCGTCGAAAACACTCAAGTCCGTCATCAACATCCGCAAGGACTCGCTGCGATTGGTCCGCTACACGCCGGAGGGCGGAGCCAGTGCCGACGGCTCGCCCAATCAGCAGCTGTTCAACATCGAGTTCACGTTTGACTGCGACGTGCGCTGCTCGATCACCATCCACTACTTCTGCAGCGAGGAAGTCACCCGGAATGGCCTAATGTAAGTCGCTAAACGTCGGGCGAGAGGTCGAATTTCCTAGGCGTTCTGCGTACTAACTAAGCTTTGCCAACCGCGAGCTGTGATCATATCGAAAAGATGTCGTTTTCTCTGCCCTTTGGCTGTATCTGAACGACACCTGACGGCGTGGGCAGTGGCGGTGATTATGTTTGGGACGAGGACACGTTTTGTCCCACCGCCATTTGTATGGGTTAGGGGCGTTGGAACGGGGATTCGTTAGCCCCTCTGCACCCCATGCTCCGAGAACGCCTAACAATTTTACAATGGGACGCATGGAAAGAAACCGGCAAACAATCGGCTTTGGTGTTCCCAATTTATGAGACGCTCATTCGCCTCTTGTTATGACCTGTAGTGCATTGCGAGACGGCGGCGGTAACAGCTGAGCCCATTGTCCGCCGCGGGGCGCGAGTCCGGAGGGCGGCACCCAGCCCATTGTCTGGAGCGTGAGGCCGGTCCCGGTGTACGATACCTCACAGTGGTGGCGGCCTGTCTCAGGAAGGGGGTGGAGCAAAACTCTCCCGTACCTAGTAATGCATCAAAAGGGTCGACCTTAAAAGGCGCGAAACCTGAGACGATGCCTGTACGCCCATGCCGCGGTAGGCGGTCAGTGATGCGGGGTGAGGGTGCAGTGCGTGACGCCTGGTGCCGTGGCGGCGGCAGGTACCGGCCCCGGGACGCCTCCATGTCGTCCGAGACGTACCGCTACAAGTGCGGCGCGGCGCAGACATTCAGCCAGCGGCAGCACCTGCTGGAGCCGGCGCTCTACACCGACGCCGAGCTGGCCTACAACCCCGACGTCGAGCTCTACCCAGTGGTGGTGGTCTGCCAGGCGGAGGAAGGGGACGGTAGGTCGTGCTGCACCTGATGGTGGTGGTGGTCTACCAGGCGGATGGGGGGAGGAGGGGGACGGTAGGTCGCGCCGCACCCGGTGGTGGTGGTCTGCCAAGCGGAGGAGGGGGACGGTAGGTCATGCGGCATGTCGACATACTGGCAGGGCAAGGGACGATCGGTCGTGAAGCACTGCGACGCGACGGTGAAGGGTGCAAGTCCTGAGCTATGCAGCGTAGATCATACTACGCGAACACGAGAATGTGGTAGGCTGTAGCGTGGGTCTAACAGTGGGCGTTAAAGAGAGGTGGCTTAGATATTGCTTTGGGTTGCGGTGGCTGCTGAATAAGGGGCTGTGTACTTTGAAAACTGGATGGGTGCAATTTTTTCAAAACTCTGTTTCCGCCCGGGATCGAACCGGGGACCTTCCGCGTGTTAGGCGGATGTGATAACCACTACACCACGGAAACAGCTGACCAGTTGCCTCAACCAGTGCGATGGGCCACAAGTGGTTACGGTCCATGGTTGCATTGAAGTGAACGATATTTTCGGCTTTCGTGCTGTATCTCTAGATAGTCTAGGTTTGCCGGTACTCTGTGCGGAATCGATGCAGTAATGTTTCACATTCTGAATTAAAAATAAGGCAAACTCATTGGCTATGTGAATCGGCGTGGGGAAAAAAGCTAATACATCCAGGGTATGGACATCAGGAGCGGCGAATTAGTGTGTGTGCTACGTGTGTTGGGGATGAGTGGAAGACATAATCCCTCTCCCCAACGGCCAACCCAATTGGACATAAACGCGATGGGGATGCACATAATAAAACAAGGTAGAGACTGTTCCCCAACCATCTCCACACAAGCTCAACAAATACCACTGCCGCCAATCAAGCTTCCAATAAAAAGCAAGCAATCCCGTAGAATCAGCTAGCAGCTGAGAACGTCTCGTGTGGAAACGCCCAGGACGTCAGGCAAAGACTGGGGTTTCCTCACAACGCTCCCGCTTGAGGCCGTCCACGGCGGTCCATTGAGCTGCCTCATTATAGTCTTGGAAGAAAACCGGGCACCTGTGATGTGCTAGGGCCTCTGAAAAGGCTATCGGGGCCTGCTCTGTACAGCATGATTTGTAGGAAGCTGCCAGCAAAATGCGTGGATGATATTATGGTACAGAAATAAGAGAACCAGATCAAATTCTGGGATCAGGACCTCATCGCTTATCAGCCCATGCAACCAAAGAAATTCTTGAGGGACTAAAGTCCCGTGAAAACTTCCTTGCCCTGACACGTTTCACCTTCCTCAGACGTGCTCAGGATAACCAAGCTTTGACATCGATGATGGCAATAATTACAAGCTTCAAATGCACAACAGACGTGCAGACATGGCTTCAACCATCGAGCCTTCATCGTTTTTTTTCGTTTTTTTGTTTGTTGCCAAATTTTTTTTTTCTGGACCTGGATTTTTTTCGTTTCTGGACACAAAATAAGTTCAAGTAGTGGCTGCAAACACCATTGCTGAACTTCGTGCTCTACAAATTGCGGAGGGCCAGCCCCCCCCCCCCCCCCGCTTCTACTCAGTTACCACGCCTGTGGTGTTATGCCCAGCTTTGGCTGACTTGTGGTCCTCGGGTGCGTCACGGCCTGGCTAAGTCGCAGAACATCACGCGGCGCGCAGCCTCGGCCTGTCGCCGTCACGCGACCTCAGTCCGCCAACCCTTGCCAGGGTCACGTGACTGCGACGCGCCCACAGCTCCCCCTGTGACGCGTCACGTGTTCCGCACCGCAGATCCGCGCCAGTGTCACGTGACCACGGGCTACGTGGACCGGATGTCGGACGGCTCGTACATGCTGAAGCCGCTGAAGCAGAAGCAGTACATCGACGGCCTGGTCTTCCTCCTGCAGGAGATCTATGGCATCGAGAACAAGCTCGTCGACAACAAGGTGGGTGGGAGGAGGAGGGAGGGGGGGGGGGGGGCTCGATCCTGGTGCGATGCATTATCGGCCGTGTCTCAACCCCGGGATCCTGAGCCAGGCATTGCTAGTCTCCTGCTCAAGCGTGCCTTTCCCCACTGGCGCTGTTGTGTTAGCGTGGTCAATTACAGTGAAAAATGTTACGCGGAGGTGGGTTGAGGGCGTGGTTGTCCTTCCTTATGTGGCGGTGGTCATCACAGGATTTGAATGATGGGTACGTAGTTCATCAAGCACCCTAACCCGTGCTTCGTTTTGGCGCAGGGATGATTCGTTAGTTAAGCTTGGTAGTTACTGTTAACCACACTGGAAAAGACGCATTGCCTAGTGTCTCTGCGCGTCAGGTCTGACACTGTAGCACACTGGCGCCCGGGGATGATAACACGATCGCTGGGAGCCGAGAGTGTCATCTGTATGTCAGATATGACACACTACATGTGTCCTCCAGTCGGTGGACGGCGACGCGGAGGATTGTGTCATCCGCATGTCGGATCTGACACACTGCACGTGTTCGCTAGCCTGTGAACGACAACACGGAGGGTTGTGTCATCTGTATGTCGGATCTGACACACTGCACGTGTCCGTCAGTCGGTGGACGACGACGCGGAGGACTCGGGGGCCGAGTGTGTCATCCATATGTCGAATCTGACATACTGCGCGCGACCCCCAGTCGGTGGACGACGACACGGAGGACTCGGGGGCCGAGTGTGTCATCTGTATGTCGGACCTGCGTGACACGCTGATCCTGCCGTGCCGCCATCTCTGCGTCTGCAATTGCTGCGCCGATCACCTGCGCTACCAGGCCAACAACTGCCCCATCTGTCGGTCAGTCGGAGAGGTGCCGTCTGCCAGGCTGGCCGACAGGTGACACATCGGCCAGCTTGCAAAGATGGCGTGAGCTCAGTGTTGGCTGCAAGGCCGTCAGCGTTCAAACTGGTCGGCATCAAGGTCGGTGTGGCTCGGGGCTCACCAATTATCTCAATACGAATGATCAAGTCACGATCCGAAAGTTGTTTTTGCCGTATGGCTCTTACTGAAATGTCACTTCCATTTTTACCAGCTGATGATGATGACGATGTTTTACGTCAACTTCACACATTATGTGTGCATGAATGTATTAGAAGGTTCTCACTTCTTCGCTTGTGTGCAGCCCAAGTCCCCAATATATGCTAGGGTGCAGGTCATCATTGTGCCTCTGCTGACATCGGGTGTTGACCTGTGCGGCCCTGCGCCGTGCCCCGGCCGGGTCGGCCGCTGACTGTGGGCGTGGTCTCGCGTGCAGGGCGCCGTTCCGAGCCCTGCTGCAGCTGCGGGCCGTGCAGAGGGTGCCGCCCGGAGGTCAGCCGCCGCTAGAGGTCAGTCGCCCCCTCCCGGCCACGGCATTATCGCCCCTCCGGGCACGGCGTCCCCCAGACGCGCGCGGCAGTCGGCCCAGACTGCTCGGCCGGCGCCTTCGGAGGTCTGAGCCGCGCTCTGAGTGGCGGGATTGCCGTCTGTGTGGCGTGGCCAGACGCGGCGTTTTGGCGATGCCGCTACGCTACTAGCTTCTCGTGCGCCTGAGGCGACACAACGCCGCGCGTGGAGTGGAGTGTTGCCTCTCGCTGGAGCCTCACCAGCCTAGCGTCCCTGCCCGGCCTGACCCGCAGCGCCAGCGGCGCGCCGGGGGGGGGGGGGGGGGGGGGCTCGCCGCCGCCGGACGCTCACCGTCGCCGCGCCCTTCGGCAGGGCGTGGACGGCGTACCGCCCGGCTACGAGCCCGTGGCCCTGGTGGAGGCGCTCAACGGGCCAATCGCGGCGCCGCGCGACGCCAGCTCGCCGGTGACGTCACGCAACGCCTCCGGCACGGTCCGGCCCCGGTACGTCAGCCGCTCGGCGACGCTGACGGGCCGGGCGGGCCGCTGTGGTCGCCGGGAGCGAACACGGCGCCGGCGAGCTGTTCACGGGCTGCTCATGCCGGCCAGGGCCGTGCGATGTGTTTGAACATGTGGTAGAATGGCAGCTGCATCAAATCGATGGGCTGCTTTTAGTTGTTGGCAATTTTATTTTGTCGTCGCGTCCGCCTCTGTGATGTTGTTCACTTGGCCGCTGCGGCTCTTCGTGGTGTCCCTGCCCACTCACCACCGTATCGTGTGGCGCTTCTCCCGTTGTTGCCGGTATCCTCTGTGATGCTCATCACCTACTCGCCGTAATGTGCTGTCTGCCTGTCGGCCTCGCTCCTCGGCAGCGCTCCCCGTCTGTCGGCCTCGCTCCTTGACAGCCTCTGCCTGTCGGCCTCGCTCCTCGGCAGCGCTCCCCTGCCTGCCGACCTCGCTCCTCGGCAGCACTCCCCGCCTGCCGGCTTCGCTCCTCGGCAGCGCCCCCCCCCCCCCCCACCTGTCGGCCTCGCTCCTCGGTAGCGCTCCCCGCCTGTCGGCTTCGCTCCTCGGCAGCGCCCCCCCCCCCTCCCCCACCTGTCGGCCTCGCTCCTCGGCAGCGCTCCCCGTCTGTCGGCCTCGCTCCTCGGCAGCGCTCCCCGCCTGTCGGCCTCGCTCCTCGGCAGCGCTCCTCGGCGGCGCTCCCCGCCCTCTAACCGATGCATGTCCCGCCTGTCGGCCAGGCCGTCGCTGAAGCGGAACCCGTCGGCAGTCAGCGAGAGGGGCGCCAGCCGCGACGGCCTGCCGCCCGTCACCTCGGCCGCCGTCCCGCCCGAGGTAGGTGGCGCCACTGCTGCCGGCGCTTAGCTTGTGGGTAGTGAGATGGGCAGTAGAGCAGTCAGCGGCACGTGCGTGGCCATGAAAGCCCAGCGTCGTGCTAGCAAAAACAAAGTGCCGACGCCACAGATCCAAGCACACAAGCTGTTTGCGCTCGTCTTCGGGCGCACAGGCCACATTTTGGTGATGGGTAAGGGTGTAGCAACAAGTGACGGTTCAGCTCGCGCAGAAAACGTGGTGACGGGTCGCCCTATCGGGGGTGGGTGACGTTACACTGAGTAGGGGTTTAAAGGCTGGACAACGGAGGTGCTGCCTGGCCATCTCGGCGCGTGACTTGGGGGACGCACCGGCCACAGGAACGCCCGATGTGCGGCTCAGGAGTCCCGGCATCGGTCCCCAGGCTGGCGTGAGGTGGGATGCGCAGTGCTCTGCGCTCAGACAGGCTTCAAAACGCACCCGCCTCGTTAAGCTAGGGGTCTAGGACCAGTGTGGTGCTAGTGTGAGCTCATACAGAGAATGTGTGTAAACATGAGCCCGGTAAAGATAGTGAAATGAGATTAACATGGCCTTGAAGTCAACGCGTTCCACGAAGGTTCAGTTATCCAGAGGCCCTTGTAGACATGCGTAGATGTATACATCAAGCTGGGTCTATATTTTTGAATTTGCGTTAACCACACGTGTGGAGCTTGGGCTGCGATGCCTTCCGCTCGGGTCGGTGGGGCGAGCCTCCGCTCCGCCGTTCGCTCATCACTGGTCACTAGAGGCTGGGACGCGACCTGTGCGGGGACATGGAGGCCCGAGAGGGCCGCAGCGTGGCGTTAGCTCTGGCTGTGTCTTGTGCTGCAGCGCCCTGGGCTGCGCCGCCGAGCGCGGTCCAATCTCTCCGGTCTCGTCATTCCCGGGGGCTGGGCTCGGGAGGGCTGGCAGTGTCCTGGGCCGCGCCGCCGAGCGCGGTCCGATCTCTCCGGTCTCGTCATTCCCCGGGGCTGGGCTCGGGAGGGCTGGCAGTGTCCTGGGCCGCGCCGCCGAGCGTGGTCCGATCTCTCCGGTCTCGTCATTCCCCGGGGCTGGGCTCGGGAGGGCTGGCGGTGTCCTGGGCCGCGCCGCCGAGCGCGGTCAGATATCTTCGGTCTCGTCATTCCCCGGGGGCTGGGCTCGGGAGGGCTGGCAGTTTCCAGTGCAACGAGTGGTCACCGAGTCCAGTAGGATTTTAAGTGTTCCGGCATTCTTTGGCTTTTCGCCACGCATTTTGTGACCGCCGGCGTTTTTTACGATCTTGTCGACGCGCGGAGTGCCCGGTGTGTGCCACGCGAACGTTTCGTTTCTTGTCCTACGCCGGTGTAGCGCTGAAGAGATGCAAGGGAGAGCTGCGTTTTGCATACCGTGAGTATGAAACCTTTTTTCTCTCTTGTGGCGTGGAGCGCTCTTCTTTTTGTTTCCCGTGCAATGCCCCGATGCCATTTTGGTCAGCTCCAACAGAATGCATCGCGATGTCTATTCAGCTTTCCAAATTGTGAACCGAGTTGCTGGTCATTATAGGCTAAACAGCGATTTGTTGTGACAAAGTGACAAATTATGACTGTGCCATTGAACCAAGGTCCTGTTCTGATATGTCGGTCATGTCGCCTCATTTGTCTGTGGCTCGTTTTCCGTGGCATCGAACATTTGGGGCATCGTGGCGATCATACTACACATCGAGGAATTAAAAAGCCATGAAGTGGCGACCCTGACTGCTGTAGGGTATGGACGTTACTGAAGGTTTGCCGGCAAGCGACATTTCATGTTTGAAAGGCACGGGCGCTGACAGAGGCGCTTCGTACTTTAAGGGTGCGTTCGTGTTGTGTGCCATGAACGGTCACGTGACTATACACACCTTACGACACAAAAACCCAGCTTTGTCGCAGAAAAGAACTAAGTAGTTGCGGGCGCAACGTGCGGCTTATTATGTCCATAATTGGACTTGTGCCGAGGCAACTATAAGACTGCTTCACAGCAGCCTGCTTTGCCGCAGCCTTTTGTGTGTCGTATAGCCTGAGGCGGTACAACGAACTCTATCTACTGCGCTGATGGCTGAGCTCGGACAGCCATAATGTCTGCGTTGCGTTGCTAGGCAACGGCAAGACAGCGCACCTGGGCGCGGCCACTGGACCGTACGACGCTTGCGTGCCTGCTCGCCCGCGCCAGAAGGCGGGTCTCGAAGCGAAAATGCACGACACGTCCCCCCACGACGGCGTCGTCAAACTATATTAGACGGACATAGCCTACATCCGTAGATCTGTTTTGGTTATTTATTATTAAAGAGTCAACATCAGAGTACAAATCGGGACTGGTTCCGACCCGCACCCACCGCCTAAAACCGGAAGCGCCTGTGCTCCACCTGGAGATACCGTCACATGCGGGGTTTCGCCTTCGCGCGACGAGCATGCCTGCGCCGTTCCACCAAAAAGCGGCATTCATCGTTCTGTTGGTGTCAAGCGAGCGACTGGGGGCTGAAGCCGGCACGGGGCGTGGCGCGCCGGCTGCCGGGTGCTCCCCGGGGCGTGCCGGCCGCCGGTCTGTTTGACTTGCGCCCATTGACCGGCCCGGCCGCCGCCGGCTTTGTCTCAGACCATTACCTGTCGCGGAATGAGCGGCGCGCGCCCCCGACGTGGATGGGCGCAATCCATCAGGCTGATGAGTGACATTGGCTGTGACCTGTTAGTTGGGGCGGCCGCGGGCGGGCGTCCGGTGTTTGAATGCCGCTGTTTGCCGAGCGCCGAGTCCTCCGCCGCCCTTGTTCTTGTCGGCGTTGGGGGTCAGGGACACCGTTGGCGCCGCGGACCGCCCGGCGGGCGGCGTCGTTTGTCCCGTGGCTAGTCTGTGCCGACGCGCGGACCGGGTCGCAGACCGGGTCGGCTGCCGGCGCCGCGTTCAGGGTGAGCGGTGAGCGGTCAGAGGGTTAGTAGCGCTCGGCAGGCTGGCGGCCGTTTCATCGAGCTCGCTGGCTCCCCGGGCGCCGTCCGTGGGCTGCTTTGTTTGAGGATGTCCCCCCCCATGTCCACGCTATGTCCGTGTGTGACGTAAGATGTCCCCTACCGGTTGCGCCAAGCGAAGGGTCCCTATTGGAACACTTTTTTGGAATGGTCCTGATGATGCGCACCTATTCAGGTAGTTGAGAAATAATAGCGGTAGGCGGAAGGGGTTACGTCTATGCATCGAGGATAAGGATTTTGGACTGTCATTCACGAAACTGGAGTGGTTGCAGAAAAAATGTGCTTGTTTGTATGGAAATGGTGTGATATGTATTACTTCTGCTATTATTTATAGGGAGGCGAACATTTTTTAAACATGATGTACAGGGCTCGTGTCGCCCCGGCTGTGACCGGCGCCTCAGAAGGCGAACTTTGGCACTGTGGGCCCGGCGAACCCGCAGAGCACTACGCTGTCTGCGAATGAACACACTCTGTTGTCAGACCGGCGCAGTGAGCCGTGCTCTGACGGAAGACCACCATACTTCCTAGTTATTCGGCCAGAGCCGACGGCTTTTCAAATGGTAAAAGTGTCTTGGCGATCTATCGCACAGGCCCAGGGCAATGTCAGCTGCTTTGGCCTGAGATAACCCCGCCCTCTTTCACGACAGCTGAACCGACCTGGGGTCGCCTCGTTTCGTAGTGTACCGAAAACTCATTGTTGCATCGAACGGCGAAATCTTGAAAGCGATCGTATCCGTTTACATCAGCGGCAAGTCTGTGGAACATCAACCTTGACTCCCCGGGGGTGGAGTTGACCTGATAAGTCCTAGCACACGCTCAGAACATGGAACTGCTTGCAAATGCACGAGCGGCGTTTGACAAATGGATTTAGCGGCGGTTGATCTGGCTCAATGTCTCCATGCTCGGAGGCCCCGGGTTATCGATGTTATCGATGCAGGTCATCGGGTTAGCGATGGCAGTTCGACTGATTGCGTGTGTGACCGCGAGCCGAGGGAATTTTGCTTTAACTTTGGTGAAACTTTCAACCTCGGATGGCCTGTCCCGATCGTCACTCCGTCTAAAAGCTGATAAACTACTGATCGCAAGTTCATGCAACTTTTGGCGGCAGAAAGTATAATTCCTTAAAGACTATATATGAACAGTTGCACATTTACGTGCAAGCTGTTTGATCAGGCGGGCTTGCCATGCAGAACTAGTCACCTTCAGTTTCGTTCCCATTCGCTTCAGCAAAAGCGTAACATTATCCACGTGAGAAGAAGCTGATGAACACGTGGGCTCCGATGGAGCGGGAAACGGACCAGTGTTGTGACAGGAACGTGCGGCGATATGTCTAGGCGGTAGAGCCATAGCGAACGTCAACCACAGGTTGCCCGGTCTGGGACGGTTTTGAGCGTTAATGTCAGATGCCAGTGACCCGAGCAAATTAACGCAGATGCAACATAATCAATGTATTTTATTTTGCGTAACATGACATTATTTTTACGTTATTCATTTGTGTAACATAAATTGTAACAAATTGACATAAATGCAGCGCGCAGGCGAATACAGCGGTCAGGTGTTGGCCTGCATCTGCGTCATTTCAGGCATCTTTCACGTGACAACGGCTGACCATTGCTTCAGCTGTGATGGCCTCGGTAGTCCCGCGCCGCGTAGCCCATCTTACTGGCAAAGGTTTCGCTACGCCACATGGGCTGAGTGCACATAGATTTAGGTCGTTATGGTCATCGCTTACCGTTCTATGCTGTGTGTGCGTGAGTTTGTTTTCCTCCAGCTCCACGTTGCCCAACCAAAAAAGTCGAACACCCAAACTGGCTAGGACGCATTGCTTAGACATTTTTGCTATAGAGTAAGTGAACTCGCAACCCGGAGGAAGATGCTGTTTTTTGCAACTGCAAGTCAACAACGATATCGGAGCAACTGCCGTGAGCGTGTAACAGCTTGCTGTACGAACCATCAGATTAAATGCAGCGTTTCTGCTATTTTTAAAATAAACGGGTGTTCCGGCAGCATTTTAGCCACATATAAAAATTATTCCCACTTGCAAAGAACAGTTACAATGAGGTGGTTAAAATTGCCACACTTGCTGTCAATCATCCCGGCGTTGAAGCATGCCTGTGGGGACATGAAGGTATTTGCGGTGAGGTGCTATCGTTGCGTTGCGCAGTTGCGTGATTTAACTCGGTTTTCATGAAAAATCGGGCACTTCCTGTATGGTACATTCTGTCAGCATAGTGTGGCAGAAAAGACGAGCGGAAGGAACTGCCGAAGTGCCATGTCAGTACATCTTCGAGGCTGCACTCTCCTTGGTGTAAATATTTCTGCCGGAATACGTATTATTATCCCTTTTCGACAATGCTGTCGGTATTTTTGTAGTACTCGATATGTCGACATATTTGCATGTATTTAATGTGTATAATGTATACAGGATAATGTATTCAATATTATTTGGTAAGTGGTAAGTGGTGGCTGATAATGCAGTCGCAGCCAACATGTTCCTGTCATGGTTGCATGTATCTATTACCATTGTATCTAGGATATAGTATGTCAGTATAAAGCATTACGACACTTAATGATGACGGGAATAGTATATATTTGTTGGCGTGCCTCTGCCTTGTATCGAATCGTATCGATACAGTATCGAAATTAGCACAATCCTTTCCAGCAATGAATTACATTTTGAAATAATAACTCGCCTATATATCGTAATCTGGAAATGCCGCAAATTTTGTGTTGTGCCTGCCATTTCATATCTTAAATGCATGTTTCAGAAACTCTCGAGTGGCCAAGTCCGTGTGCTTCCCCGGGGGCCGTCCGCTGCCCGTGCCTCGTGCACCGCCGTCTGCCAAACCGTCTGCGTAACCGGCTCCACTACCGTCTGCCGAACCGTGTGCGGCCCGTCTACGACACCGTCTGCGGCACTGTCTGCGCCACTGTTTGCAGCACGGTCCGCGCCACCGTCTGCAGCACGGTCTGCGCCACTGCCTGCACCACTGTCTGCGCCACCGTTTGCAGCACGCTCTGCGGCACCGTCTGCGCCACCGTTTGCAGCACGGTCTGCGACACCGTCTACAGCACCGTCTGCGCCACCGTCGCCACGCCGCCCCGATGCCGTCGTTGCAGGCGTCGCTCCGCTCCGTAGTGCTGTCCACCTGCCAGGTGGCTCTGGGCCTGGCCTGGCTGTACGTGGCGTACGGGCGCTACCAGCTGCAGCGGCGGGAGCTGCTCACGTCCAGCGTGGCGGTCGAGCCGGTAGCCTTTCCTGCCATCACGGTCTGCCCCGAACTCCAACTCAACTACTACCGCGTGGTCAGCCTCAACAACGGCACCGGGTGGCCGCGCGACCTGTGGCGGCTGTACCGGCCGGCACGCGACGGCAGCGCGGCGGATTTCCTGCTGGGACTGAGCGCGCGCGTCGAACAGCTGGTGGAGCACTGCTTCGGCGCCGGCTGCGACCACTGGCGCCCGCTGCTGACCCGCGAGGGCGTCTGCTACACGCTGGTGCCGCCGGCCGGCGGCGCGCACGGTAAGCAGGTGGAGCTGAGGCTCAGCTTGTACCGCTACGTGAGGGGACTGGTGTGGCCCGGCTGGAGCAACTACCGCGTGTTCGTGCACGGTACGGAGCGGCCGGTGGTACTGCAGGACGGCTTTCTCAGCCTCAACGCCTGGGTGCTCGTCGACGTGGGCGATATGAGCATGCACCCGGCGGTGCTGGTGAGCGTAAGGCGCACCGTCACCAGCAACATCCGCCGCCGCCCCTGCCGCGAGCAGCCCGACTACCAGCAGACACTGGTGAGGTTCCGGCGGGCCGGCGGTCTCAGCGGCGCCGCGACCGCCGCCTTTGGCGGGACGGCCTCCGATCAATGCCTCTCATGCTTGCAGTCGCCCGTCGAAAGCGACGCTCGACACAGCGGGAAGGCCGCGTCGCAGGAATGCCTCGGCGCTTCAGACGAACATCGTTTGCCTGCCGGATGATGCGTTGTGGTGTATGATTACGAAAGCGGCCGAGAATGAGGAATGTCACGCGTGGCCCAGTTCGCCAGCGTTGTCTCACCGTTGATCGTGGTGGCTCGGAAGCTCGTGATCAACGGCGTCACAGACCGGCCGTGAACCGCCAGTGTCTGCAGCGGTGTCTGCGTTACTGACCGCCGTCCGCCACCAGTGTCTGCAGCAGTGTCTGCGTTACTGACCGCCGTCCGCCACCAGTGTCTGCAGCAGTACTGTGTTACTGACCGCCGTTTGCCACCATTGTCTGCAGCGGTGTCTGTGTCACAGACCGACCGCGAACCGCCAGTGTCTGCAGCGGTGTCTGCGTTACTGACCGCCGTTTGCCACCAGTGTCTGCAGCAGTGTCTGCGTTACTAACCGCCGTCTGCCACCAGTGTCTGTAGCAGTGTCTGTGTTACTGACTGCCGTCTGCCACCATTGTCTGCAGCAGTGTCTGCGTTACTGACCGCCGTCCGCCACCAGTGTGCAGCAGTGTCTGCGTTACTGACCGCCGTCCGCCATCAGTGTCTGTGTTACTGACCGCCGTCCGCCACCAGTGTCTGCAGCAGTGCTGTGTTACTGACCGCCGTTTGCCACCATTGTCTGCAGCGGTGTCTGCGTCACAGACCGGCCGCGAGCTGCCAATGTCTGCAGCAGTGTCTGCGTTACTGACCGCCGTCCGCCACCGGTGTCTGCAGCAGTGTCTGCGTTACTGACCGCCGTCCGCCACCAGTGTCTGCAGCAGTGTCTGTGTTACTGACTGTCGTCTGCCACCAGTGTCTGCAGCGGTGTCTGCGTTACTGACCGCCGTCCGCCACCAGTGTCTGCAGCAGTGCCTGTGGCGGCGCGCCGCCGGCCCTGTAGGCTGTCGCGGCCCCTGGATGCAGCTGGATGAGCTTCCTCTCTGCACAAATGGAGACCTGTTGCAGACGGTCGCCGACTCTGAACGAGTGAGAATCGCCCCCCCCCCCCCCCCTCCTTTCCCTGTCCCCTCGGGCATTCGTTCATCCGTCCGTCCGTCCGCATGCTTGCGCGCATGCATGTGTTCGTTCGTTCGTTCATTCGTTCGTTAGTTTTTGGCCATTCGTTTGATCAATCGTTCGTTCTACAGCGGTTGTTCTCCGCCCGCCCTTCATTGAAAGCCGTTCTTACGGGCGCCATATGACCATTGTAGTCGGCGCTCCCCAAGCCCAAATCATCATCACGAGAGCCGTCCTTAAAGCTCACAGCAACCGATTCAACGGCCCGAGCATTCCTAGTACGTTCTGCTACCCTGCAGTCGCGCCGCGCCGAGGGAGTGACGTAGCTAGCAATGCGCGTCCACACAGTCACCGCTGTCTCTTCGGCTGGCTCTCGTTCAGAGACTGCCGTGTGTGTATGTGATCCGTCGCTGGTGTCATGACACTCCCGGCCGTGTGCGCTGTCCCGGTGCTGCTATCGCCTCGTTCTCTCTCTCCGACGGCAGACACAGCTGCGGGGCAAGTCGCGCGTGCAGCTGGAGGCAATGTGCGGCTGCCTGCCGCGGTGCTCTGTCGACACGGTCATGATCGAGCGCCACACCCTCAAGCGCAACCGTAACAACGTAATCCAAGCGGTCGAATTCGCGTTCGACGAGGAGGTGGAGGTGGTGACGAACTCGTTGACGTACGACATCCCGGCGATGTTGTCCGAGGTGGGAGGCAACGCCGGCCTCTACCTGGGCTACTCGCTGCTGACCCTGCTGGACGCGGCTGTTGATCTGCTGGAGTGGAGCATCCGCAAGCTGCCGGCCTCCGCAGCAAAATAGCTCGGGTTACGAGGCTGAGCCAGCGCCAGAGGGCCCGGCGGCTGCGCGTCGTGGCGGCTCTCCAGATGCACTAAAGATGCTGATCACCACACCGGGGAAGGATCATGATTACGACCACATTACACGAGATGCTGATTAACACACCGCGGCGCGTTGGCATCAAGGCAGTCGTCATGTCAGAAGGGGAGTAACGCATTTGCCAACATCATGCGGTTCGTAACCGTAAAAAATGTTCTCACAGTTATGAAAGACATGGCGATAAGTGTGATGATATTGTCGGTATTATAGGGCTTGCGTTGACTTTGAGTGGTCGACTTTCGCACTCTGGTATTCTCGTGAGAAAAAGACGCCATGCTGATGATCTTACGCTAGATTAAAACTGAGAGCGACAAAACGGGCGCCAGGCACGTGGCCGCCTAGGTCACGCACGGTCAGGCGAGAGTTAGCGGCGCCGTCTGGGCTGCGCAAGGGTCGCACGCATGTGCGCCACGGTCAGCTGCGCGGCAGTGGGAGGGGGGAGGGGGCAGCCCCCGACGTTCGTGGTGTCACGTGCTCGTCGCTGTGCACCACGTGACCCGCTCGTGCCCACACTCACCCTGTAGCGCTTGCGTCTCTGGCGGGGTGCCGGTAGTGTAGTGGTTAACGCGCCTGCATTAACCAATGCGCGTCTGGGAGACGAGAGATACGGGGTTCGATTCCCCGCGGTGCCCGCCCTTCCTGCCAGGGTGAGAGGCAGGCGGCGCCATATAGCCTCAGCAGCTGAGTGCGTCGTAAAGCCCCAGTGGCACATACGATTGCATCTCTGGGCGAAACGCTGCGTCACTCGCATCAGACGATGTTGAAGAAGACGGTTTGAGCCTGCTTGACGGGTATCAGCGGCCTTGGTGTGTCGTCGATATGGGATCTACCTTTTTATGTACACTTCGTTTGTGCATTACCACTCTTATGAGCACACTTTCCTCAGCAGTCGGCGCCCGGAACCGCAGTTAACCAAAAAAGTAAGTTGCAATTTAAGCATGTGAGCTATGCTCGTCTGTTCCTTGCAATGGCGCTGAAACAGGTGATACTTGGGGGGCACACGTGTGGTGAATTTCGGTGTGGGTTTTATTGTTTTTGGTATTGTCTCGCTAAATGTGGTGACCCTGCGCTGTCTAGCGTTTCAGGCAGTTGACGTCCGTTGCTTGGAGACCGCATACGCGGTATGATCGTTGCGTGTCACTACCACGGACGTTGTTTGGCACTCCGCACCACGTGGTGGTCGCCAGTGACGATGATCACTGGGCCTTCACCAAGGGAGCGTCCTCAGCATACCCGCGCGCGCTGCTCCTAAAGCCCTCCGCTCGAAACGCAGCCGGTAACCTTGGTAACCTTGGTAACCGGTAACCTTGGGCGCGCTCTCGCACCGTGCTGTGGTGCCCGGCAGTGAGGCCGCAAGAGCTGTGTGGCCGTCACCGTGGGGGCGTGCCTGTCATCGGTGTCGCGCCGGTGTCCGACCGGCTGTGTCTCGGCCCGGGGTCGCGGCCGCCCGCTCGCGGTCTGCCGCCGTGTGAGACTGCTGCTCTCTGCCTCCGGACGTGTCGTACCAGGGCGTGGCGTGCTGCACTAGTGTTACGCTCTTCAGCACATCCGCAGGTGTCGCGCGTGTTTCGTGTCGTGTTGTCGCAAAATATAAACGTCGTCAGGCTGGAAGGCCAACCGCTTTTGTCACCGTCGCCATTGCCTGGTGTTTGGAAACGCCCTGGTCCAGCTAGCGTGTTAGTCCCATGCACTGGGTAGTTACGCCGTCGTGCCCGTGTTAGAGGCGGGAGTGGGAGACTGTGCGCCGTTGTCGCGGAAGCCTAGGATCTCCCCGCCTAAGACCACAGTCCCCTCAGAGTAATTTCTTCGGAGCATCAGACGATGCGCGACTGGACACGCAAAGTCGAGTTCCTGGGTGAGCCTGCAGCAAATCAACTTTACTGCAGAGAGATGCGTTGGCGGTAGCTAATCAGTCGCGGGGAACCGGTAGCGAAGTGGCTAAGCCGCGCATCTGGGGAACCAGAGGTACGGGGTTCGATTCCCCGCAGTGCCCGCCCTTCCGGCCAGGGTGAGAGGCGGGCAACGCCATATAGCCCCAGCAGCGGCGTGCGTCGTAAAGCCCCAATGACGAACCAACCGTCTAATCGTGCAGTTTTAAGTTGCATTCTTACATACCTATTGCTGGGATTTTCAGGTGCATCTTGTGTAACTGGGAGTCGGCTAGGTAGTCAATGTTTCTTTTTCGTGAGTTGCGACACTGGTTGAAACCCCGAGACTCACGCTCATGGACACTGAATGACAATGCTACGTCACTTCTTGTGTTCGCATGCTCACTAGCTGCTGCAGAGAACAAATCATTTGCCTGCGTCTGAACATATGTGCTAAATTCAAAGTGTTTCAGCCTTGTGCCCAACTGAATGGAATATGACGATTTGTGTGGCGCGAACGGGGCAGACGGCTGCAGGTCTGCAAGCTGTCAGCCGTTACGTAGATGATGCCAAGAGGCAAGCTCAGTGAAATAGCACCTGTGGCACCTTCAGCAGCCGATATCACCGGTTTTCATCGATGCGTTGATAGGTCTACCTTTCATGAACATTTTTAACGAATGGAAAGCGCTCATGCGGCATTTGCTTGCCAGTTCACGAACAGTTGACTCGACAAATGAATGCTTATGGGTGGCGTCAGGTCCGGCTATAGCAATCGAGGACATCGACGTACTCGCGTTTATCTACGGTTTTTACAATTTGGACCAGAGTATTGCAAACGACAATATCTTGCGTGGCTATGTGTCACAATAAGCATGGCTGCGCGCGTGTGTAGCACTCATGGCCAGTGTTCCATCACGGTCGGTCTGCCGGCGGCTCCGCCACATCCACGTGCCGCTGGGTCGCTCTGTGGCATCGGCCTGACTGGTGCCCGCACCACCCCGCCCCGCCCGGCAGGGGCGCTGGGCACCACAGGGCCGCGCGGTTGGGTGTCTGCTTCACCTGTCTGCTTGTTTGTTTTTGTGTGAAAAACAAACGTATATTTTTGTGTGTACAAAGGGGACACGACGCACGTCATTGCGCACCGTTTGATGGAGCGTCAGCGACTGCGTTATCTAATGAGTGCGAGGGGAGGGGGGGGGGGCATTGGTGCGACTGGGATTCGAACCTGAGTCTCTACGTGGGAGCCGAGGGCGCTAACCACCCGGCTATCGGCGCGGGGTGCGAGCGTGACCAGCACCAGTGCCGGCTCGTCCGCCAGGTGCGCCGCCGCGTGCTGGAGGAGCGGGGTCGGGCCGAGCTGGAGGTGACCACCCCGGAGGGCGCCACCGCCGCCAGCCGATCGCGCACCCCCTCCCGCGAGAAGGGCAAGCAGGAGGACGGCATCGCCGGTGACGCGGAGGAGGTGAGCACGGCGCGATCCGGCCTGGAGTCCTTCCGACCGGGTCTCCTCCCTCTCCTTCTCCCCCTCCCCTCCCCCTCCCCCTCCCCCTCCCCCTCCCCCTCCCCCTCCCTCAACGAATATGTGGTAACGAATCTGGTTGCGTGGAGATCGGTCCGTGGCGACGCGTGGCAGGTCCACCGTCACCCGTCACACACAGCGTGGCAGGTCCACCGTCACCCGTCACACACAGCGCGAGCTGCCGTGTGACGGATGGCGGTATGAGCTGCAGCTAGTCGGCTGCGGCGCGGCAGCTTGCTGTGTGATGCGAAAGCCGCTGTGTGGCGCGGCAGCTGCTGTGCGGCGCGGCAGCTGTTGTGCGGCGGGCGAAGCTACCGCGCGCCCGCTGAGCCTCTCCCGACAGGCAAGCTCCGCGCGCTGCGCGCGCGGCCGCTTCTCAGGAGTGTGACCCCTGTGACCCCCGCCCGTGCGCGCAGTGCGAGCGCCGCTCTCTGCTCGAGTCGCCGCCGCCGCCGCCGCCGCCGGCGTCCGACGCGCCGGGCCCGGCCTGCCGGGCCCCGACCGGCGACTCGTCCGACTCGGACGACTCGGACGCCAGGAACTCGCGACTCGTCACCGTCATCCCCATCGAGCACGACTCCCGTGAGTTGCAGAGTGTGCTGAGTGTGCGGAGTGTGCGGAGTTGGAAGCGGAGGCCGGTCGTCAGTGTCGCGGGCGGCGGGGGTCGGAATGAATGAGCGTTTGTAAGTTGGCTGATGCGTGTGCTATGGCATGAATTTGCGAGAAGGATACGTCCGATAGAAATGGAGATAGAGAGGGATACCGGGCGGCCTTTGTGTTTAAAGGAGTCCGCGTATGTTTGGACTAACTGTATTAACTGCGACACGTCCTGTTTCACGACCCACATCCACCGATAGGCCATCCTGACAGGTTCTCGGAGAGTGGACGACGCGGGCCCGAAGCTTGTTCCGAGATTAACCATCCAGCTTGCCGCTTTTCCCATTGAGCACCGCCTCTCTCCATTCTAGAGACATGGGCGAATTCTGCTGTCGATTTTCCTGAACCGAAAATGGAAGACGCTCGAGGCAAGTCGGTTTTGTCTTGTGACGCTTGTGGCGCGCACGCGGCTTGGTCGACGCCGTCCGTGTACGCGCGGGCTTGTCGAACTTTTGATAGATAGCATCGGTAGAGTGAATTCTGTAGATAGTGCGTGCAACTCTCTAGGATGTAGAGGCCTATGCCATTCTCCATATTCTGGTTCCATAAAACGAAACCACGAACCCGCAACTTTTTAAGGCATGTCGTATGGGCTTTCAGAGTGGAAATGGGTCAGTTTTCGGATATGTTTAATTCATGCGCCTTTCGCTGGCGAACGGGTCGATACCGCCTCGTCACTCGTTGTACGCATGCTCATGCGACGTGGCTTAACATCACGTAGACTCGTCGTTTCGGCGAAAATCGCCGTGGTCGCGACCAGGAGGGCGCATCGGCCGTAGTTGGCTTGCCCTGCGCATATCTTGTCCCCGACGGAGCGGTGATGGTTCCGCTCTGTCGTCGGTTCGAGCAGCCGCGCTGGCCGTTCTGCTGCGAGCGCACCTTAGCTGGACCGCCTCTCCGGTGGCGCGTGCGGCCTAACTGCGCACATCTGGGGCGTCGGCGGCACGCGCCAGTGGGGCGGCGCGCCGCCGGCCTGTCCTCCGTGCGTCCGCCGCGGCGGGGTGCAGCAGCAGGCGGGCTGGAGCCTGCGGCGACATCGTCCGGAGGGTGGCGGGCGAGCTTGTCCCTCGTGCCTTGTGTGTGTCGAATTGTCAGTTTCCTTAAAGCCAGCAAGGCGCAAATAAGGTCATCGCTACGATGAGTTCGATTGCTCCTGCGATTTATCCCGACCGCAGCGCGCGCGGCCGTGTTTCCGCGCGCCGTCAGCGCTCTGACGTTGTCGACTGCGCGTGTGTCCTCAGACATGCAGCTGGAGGAATACCAGGACACGGAGGATGAGACGATCGAGGAGCAGTGTCGCCCGGGCGACGTGACGCCTCCCAACACCGCCCA